TGATCCCACGAGAGACTTTGGAGGAGCTCAGAAGCCTCTGCGCCTCCTCCTCCGTGTGGCTGGTCTGCGACACCGGGTACGAGTACGTCTCGCACGAGGACGAGGAGCAGGACGAGGACGAGGGGAGAGGGAGGGAGGGAGGGAGGGAAAAGAAGGAGAACGTGCCGCATGCTTGCGTGGAGGGAGAAAACGTCCTCAACCTGTTTTCCTTCTCCAAGAGCTACGGGATGATGGGATGGAGGGTCGGGTGTGTGGCGATGCCGCTGGGAGTGGAGGAAGAGATGCTCAAGGCACAAGACACGATACCGATCTGCCCTCCCATCCTCTCGCAGAAGGCGGCGGCGGGAGCGATGGAAGCTGGAAGGAAGTGGGTGAAGGAGAAGGTGAAGGAGGAGGAAGGGGTGCAAGCGGAGGGTGAGGAGATGAGCAGGTGCGGGGACTTTGGAGGACGAAGAAAAGGATGAGGGGGATGCTGGTCGAATGTTTGGGGGAGGAAGCTGTGCTAGGAGGAAGCGGCGCTATCTACTTGATGGTGAGCAGGCGGGGAGATGAGTGGGAGAGGCAGGAGGAGGAGGAGGAGGAGGAGGGAGAGGGAGTGGGCAAACAGGGGAGGAAGGGAGGAGGAGGTAGCTGTTTGCTGTGATAGTGTGGTGCAGGTCAAGCTGCCTGAGTCGATGGAGGAGGACGAGAAGGCGGTGGAATGGCTTGTAAAGAAGCACCAGGTAAGGAACATGCTGCGTGAGAGAAGGGGAGGAAAAGGGGAAAAGAACACAACATGTGGTAAGCAGAGTAGCACGAGGAGAGGAAGATGAGGAGGGTGGAGACGAGGACAAGGAAAACACACAAACACAAACACCACCACCACCACCACCACCACCACCACCACCACCAGCCGCAGCAGCCGCAGCCGCAGCAGCACCACCACCACCACCACCAGCGGCAACAGCAGCGGCAGTAGCAGCATCACCACCACCACCACCACCACCACCACCACCACCACCACCACCACCACCAGCACGAGCAGGCTCCTCCTCCTCTCCTGACTGCCCTCAGGTTTGCGTCATCCCTGGGTCAGCGTGCGGATTTCGAGGGCACGTGAGGGTCTGCTACTCGAACCTGAGCGAGGAACGATGCGAGGAAGCGATCAAGAGGCTAAGGAGCGGACTCGAGGAGATGAAGAGCCTGGAGGGAGGGAAAGGAGCTTGAGGGAGCAAGTGGAGCTGGAGCTGGAGCTGGAGTGGGAACGGGGACAGGAGCTGGAGCTGGAGCTGGAGCTGGAGCAGGAGCAGGAGCAGGAGGGCATTGGGCTGATTGTTATCTAGATCTGTGTTTCTTTCAAACACTTGTACATGCCTTGCGAACTTTTCTACAAGGATAAAATGATCTCTGTGCTGGTATGGAGGGGAGGAGGAGTTTACGACGCCTCCACGAACTTCCTTGCGTTGATGAACATCTGCAGCCATGGGGCAGCCTGAAGCAAAGAATGAGAAACGAAACAAGAAGCGAAGAGAAGGGGGAGAAGAGAGGGAGGGAGAGAGCACAGAAACAGAAATGGGGGCAAGGGGACCAGGAAGATGGGAGTGGAAACGTTGGAAAAGGAGGTGGAGGAGGGAAGGTGGAGGGGAAAGAATGCGAAAGAGAAGGAGCGAGAGGAAGAGGAGGGAGAGGAGAAGGAGGGAGAAGGGAGAGGGAGAAGGAGGAGACCTGGGGTCCAGTTGGCTGCCAGTCCCTTGGCATCCATGGGATCTGCCACTTGAGGACGCAGCGCTCGGGGTGAGGCATCATGGCGAGATGGCGACCGTCCTTTGTGCAGAGGCCGGCGATGCCGCCGGGAGAGCCGTTGGGGTTGAAAGGATACCTGGAAGAGAAGTAAGAGGAGGAGGGAGGAGGAGGAGGAGGAGGGAGGAGGGAGGAGGAGGAGGAGGAGGAGGAGGAGGAGGAGGAGGAGGAGGAGGAGGAGGGAGAGGGAGGGAGGGAACCTCTCAGTGGGCAGGCCATCATCGTCGACGAAGCGGAGGGCAACCTGGCCATCATTCTCGACCTGGTGGTAGTGCTGCTCGTTGGGGAAGGAGAACCTCCCCTCACCATGAGCCGACCAGATCCCCAGCAGGGACCCCTCCATGTCCTTGAACCACATGCACTTGCTCTTCTCGATCTTGACGTTGATCCACCTCGACTCGAAGCGAGCTGACTTGTTGTGCTCCAGCCTCGGCGCCTCCTCCTCCGCCACCTTCCCGGGGCCGAACGGAACCCACTGCAGCCTGTGCTCGAGCTGGCAGCCGTTGCAGACGCCCAGGGAGAAAGTGTCGCTCCTCTCGTAGAAGCTGCGAAGCTCCTGCGACGCCACGGGGTGGAACATGGCGGTCGCTGCCCAGCCCTTGGCGGATCCGAGCACGTCGGCATAGGAGAAGCCGCCGACAAAGGCGAGGCCGCGGAAGGAGGAGAGCGAGGCTCTCTTGCTCGCCAGGTCAGACATGGTCACGTCCCAGGGCTCGAAGCCAGCGAGGCGGAAGGCCGCGCTCATCTCACGATCCCCGTTGCTGCCTTCCTCGCGGATGATGGCGACCTTGGGGGAAGTGGAGGAGAGCTGCCACTGCGGCTGCGGGTTGAGGATGGTAGCATGGATGAGCGGCGTCTTGCGCGTCTTCATCGACTTCTCCTCCTCCTCAACACAGTCTGGGTTCGCCTGCAGCTTGTCGAGCCCGAAGCTCGTGCTCTCCCAGCAGTCCCTCAGGCTCGTCATGCTGTCCTCCATCTCCACCTTCCCGCTCTTTCCGACGATTTCGACCTTGTCCAGGTCCAGCGGCTCTCCGATGCGCACGCAGGAAACGCCGGCGTCAGCATAGGCGAGCATGACGGCATTCAGATACTCTCCTGCCACCTCCATGACCAGTCCGACCTCCTCGTTGAAGAGGGCTGCGAGCGTCGTCGCGCCTGCTGCTCCCGCCACGTCCAGCCTCACCCCGCAGTTGCCAGCGAACGCCATCTCGAGGACGGCAGAGGCGAGACCTCCGTCGCTCCTGTCGTGACCGGCCGAGATCATCCGCTTTCCGATCAGCTCCTGCGTGACCTTGAAGGCTGCCTTGAGCCTCTTTGTCTCCTCCCCCTCGCAGTCTGCCGGCTCGTCGCCTAGGCGGCCATGAACCTGCAGCAGCAATATGAGCATACAGCCACTGACACCGTACAGCTCTCCTCCTCCCCTCCGCTCTGCCTGCGCGCGCCCCCACAACCCCCAGCCTTCCCTCGCGTCCCCCCTCCTCCTCCTCCTCCTCCTCCTCCTCCGCACCTGAGCAAAGACGGATCCTCCGCACCTGGCTTTGCTGCCAGCGGGCTGGACAAGGAGGAGAGCGGCACCTGGGGGGTTCTTAAGGTCGGGGGTGACGGTGAGCGTGACGTCAGGGCAGGAGCAGTAGAGGGAGACGGTGATTTCTCCCGGGCTCTTGACCACCTCCTGCTGAACCCTCGCAGACATGGACAGGGAGTCCTTTCCTCCGTCGATGCCGATCCCGAGCTCGTGCATGATCTACGGGCAAGTGAGGTGGCAGATCAGGCGTGTAAAGGGATAGCAAAGGAGAGGAAGAGCAGGACATGGAGAGCAGGAGGCGGAGGAGGAAGAGGAAGAGGAAGAGGAAGAGGAAGAGGAAGAGGAAGAGGAGAAAGAGGAGAAGGAGCAAACGAGGGACAACCAGGCGCAGGCAAGACAAAGAGGAGGGAGGAAACAAACTTCACCTCTCTGAGGGCTACGGCAGTATCGTACATCAGAGCTCCCTCCCCTGGCAGCTTTGCCGCCCACATCCAGTTGCCCTCTGCCTTCACATCCTCCAGCGCTGTCACCTTGGCCCAGACCAAGTTGGTCACGCCCTCTGCCACCGACATGCGAGCGTTGGCTGCTCCGCTCAGGAGCCCCTTGATCGGCTGCTCTCCGATCGCCGTCACTCCTCCCTTGACAGCCTCCCCGTCCCTTGTCAGGTGGGAATGCGCAACGACGGCACAGTCGGCGAGGGGGGTAAGGAGGGGACCAACGCACTGCTGCTGGGCAATGAGGCCCGTGACGCTCCTGTCCACCTTGTTGGTGAGGAATCTCTTCGAGCCGACGGTGACGGTGGAGAGCACGGAGCGGATGGTGGAAGAGAGGACTTCCGTGCCCGAGCGGGAGAGGAGCGCCTGCATGACGGAGGGAGGATCGGCAGCGGGGATGATGTCGGAGTGGTTTGAGACGAAGGTCTTGGGAGGAAGTTTCCCCAGCACCTTCTCCAGTGGGAGGTCGACGGGGGTGCTGCCGTCCTGGCTGTCAACGACGACGCATCTGCCATCTCCCGTGACCTCGCCGACACAGCACCATCCCGATCGCTCTCTCTCGCAGATCTTCTCGATGGTCGGCATGCTCTCAGCACGCACCAGTGCACAGTTGTTCTCCTGGTACTCCGCGCCCCAGATCTCAAGGACGGACATGGTGTTGTCTCCGACCACCACGTCTCGGATGTTGATCTTTCCTCCGACCGGCTCGATGATCTCCTTGCACACGTTGCAGTTTCCTCCTGCTCCCTGGTCGTGAAGCGAGACGATCGGGTTCCTTTCTCCGAGCTCGATGCATGCTCGCATCACTCGGTTCATCTTCTGCTCCATCTCAGCATCTCCTCGCTGGACGGCATTGAAGTCAAGGTCCGCGCTCTGGTCACCAAACGCCATGCTGCTCGCTGCTCCTCCTCCCATGCCGATGCGATACGCGGGGCCTCCGAACTTGAGGACTTTCATCCCCACCTCCGGCGTTCCCTTCTTCCTGTGACGAGCGTCCATCTGACCGAAGCCGCCAGTAAAGAGGATGGGCTTTATCCACTCCCTCCTCTCTCCTCCTGCAGTCCGCATGCCAAAGGAACGCGTGAAACCAGCAATCAGGGGCTCTCCGAACTTGTTGCCATAGTCGCTCGCGCCGTTGGATCCCTCGATGAGAATGTCGAGGGGTTTGGCGAGGGTGGGGGGATAGAGAGCATGAGCATCCTCATAGGCAAAGCTGGTGCCCGGCATGTTGAGAGCTCCAACGCAGTACCCGATGGTTCCCGCAATGTAGTGCGCTCCGATGCCAGTCGCCATCACGTCCCTGCGTGGGAAGTCAGGTGCAAGTAGCGGGAGGAGGGAGAGTGACAGAGAAAGGGGGCAGCCAAGTCGTGAGGAAGTCTTCATGGAGATAGAGAGGAGAAGGATCACCTCAGACGACCTCCTGTCCCTGTCTCCGCTCCAGCGAAGGGGCAGACGCCAGTAGGCATATTGTGAGTCTCGGCTGTGTAGATCAAGTCCATCTCGATCTCGTGATCCACGAGAGGACACGGGGCTCCTGCCTGCAGCGACTTGTCCACGTTGTATGCGGGTGTGAGGGCGTGAACTTTGGCTCCGATGATGGAGGAGCTGTTGTCAGCGAAGGCGATGATGCTGTTCTTGTTGGTGTTCGGGTTCTTTTCCAGCGTGTCCTTGACGATACGAAAGAGGCTCTCGTCCTTGGCCTCCCCGTCGATCTTCATGATGCCGCCGAAGAACCAGTGTCTCGAGTGCTCCGAGTTGGACTGCGCAAGATCGAAGAGCTCAACATCCGACGGGTCTCTCTTGAGCTCGTTCTTGTAAAGGTCCAGGTAGTACTCGTAGTCCCAGTCGTCAAACCCCAGCCCGAGCTCAGCTGAGATCGCCTCGAGCGCCTTCCTTCCCTCCTTCATCACCGGGATCCACTTGACTGGCTTCGGCGTGATGCCTGTCTCGAAAGTCTTGAGGGGCTCCGGGTACACCATCTCGGTCATGCGGTCATGGATGATGGAGATGAAGATGAGCTTCTGATCAGCGGTCAACGCCGTGCTCGAGGTCACGAGGAAGCGTCTGGATCGCTCGACGCGCGGGACCCCATGGATCTCAGCTGCTTGCAACACAGACACGCAGTTGGTCGACCAGGCTGTCGTGAAGTTCATCCTGGGGCCAACCTCGACGATCATCTGGTTGCTCGCGGCTGACAGGAAGCTGTTGGGCCCGATCTTGTGCCCTCCCTCCTTCAGACACCACTCCACCATCTTCTTGTTGGCCTCGGTGAAGGAGGAAGGGGTTGCAAGGCTGACGTTGAAGCAGAACTCCGTCTCTATCGACGTGATAGGGAGCCCCAGCGCATGCGCCTTGAGGAGAATCCTCTCCACTGAGCCTTTTTCAAGGCCAGGATGCGAATACAGTTGGTACATGCTCGACATGCTGCTGCTCCGCAATCTGAAAGCTGTCACAAGTGTCATGGGTGCGAAGAGCAGAACATACGGTGCTAATTAATCAGCGTTGCAGGTGAAAAAAACTCTCTTCCTATCTCGCAATAAATTCGGCTAGCCTGTTCGATTGGATTTTGCTTTCCTGATATCATCAAGTCCTGAGGGGGATACATATTTGTAGAGACTCTTCAGAACCATAGCAAAACGTTCCTAGCCTGGGTAGACCAGCCACTTGTCTCAACCAAAAATTCAATTTGATCCCAATGATGGTAACAATCCCTCTTTGATCGGGTTCAGCAAACAGTGTTACCCCCTCGTCATACATCTCAAACCGATTTCCTGCTCCTATTGCTAGACTGGGCTCTTTAATTCTGCTCCTACTGCTGCTCGCTTTGCTTCCAGGCACGCCTTGCTGCAACTTCCGTAATTACTTTCCTTGCTAGCCTTTCACCCTGCACCATAGCCCCTACCGTCCCCTACTGCTCGTGATGATGGACATAGCTCATTTCATCAAGTCTCTCTGCCTTCCTTCATCCTCCTTCTCCTCCTTCTCCTTCTCCTTCTCCTCCTTCTCCTTCTACTAGCGTCCGCTCTGCATTGTGTACCGCCCTCTTCTCTCTTTTTCCACCACCCTATTAATACGACCACCCCAGGAACATATACCCCTACCCTCTCATTAGAGACATAACCCCTCGAGAATGCACAGGGGGGGCTCTTGTTTGTTGGATTTTCATGTTACTCTGAGACACCCCCACCCACACCACTCCGTGCATTACCCCTCCTTTCAAGGCTGTACCCCCCTTTTTCCTCCACTCCCTGAGTTCCCTGTCAGGGTAAAATTCATGATTTGTGGGTCAAAATCGAAATCTTTCCAAATAATTTGGACACAATGCGAAAATAGACTAATCAAATTTCGTGCTCATTTTTCAAATGATCCCAAAGGAGTCTTATCACTCCACCCCTTTACTCCCTGACCCCCATTCCAACTTCCGAACCCCTTGTCGCTGATGCGGCGTAGAACTGAGGACCCCCACCACCCCTCTTTTTACATCAACTACCCTCGAGTTCACAGCACAACGGTATGTGTCCACCACCGTTACCCTGTCTATTATCACCGGTACCCCTTGAACTGAACCAGCCGGCCACCAAATAGGCCGGGCCGCACGTGCAGTTGCCGATGAAGTCACTGCCCGGCACCCGGCCCGGGCCGGCGCCGGCCGTACGGTCCGATCGATCCGACGACTCCGCCCGCCGGCTTCCGATCCGCCGCCTGTCACCCGCGACTCCCGCGGGGCCCGGGGGGCCGCTATCAACTGCGGCGGTAAGCCTTGTTTACTGGCTTGCTCAGTCGGGCCCCGCGGGCTGCGCCATAATCAGTACGGCACTATGTTTCCGGGCCGGACTCCGGGACTTCGGGAGTCCCGGAGCCACCGTCCTGAACGGTGTGGCACGTGGGCCTTGATGACCCGGTCACCCGGGGCCCGGCGAGTCAAAAAAGTAGTACGGACCGACCGTCACGGTGGGCAGGCTGCAGTACGGCCCGCCGCGGCCGGGCCGGACTCCGCCGGACTCCTCGGATCATCGGATGATCATCAGTAAGCCTGAGTGATGTTTTACTCAAAGTTAAGTTAAAAATCAGTACGAGCGGCGAACCAAACCCGAGTGATGAGGCCCTTGCAGCCCGGACTGAGTCAGTGTTTATTACTCAAAGTTAAGTTAAAAATCATACGAGAACACACTGACGGAATCAGCCCCACCCTCTGAAGGTCTACCCCTTTGTTTCTTCTTGATCACCCTACCTTTTCTCATGTGTGCAGTACCCCTTACAGTCAGCTACCCCCTGTACTAGCTGGCAGAGGCATGGCGAGCTTCCCCTGGAGCTTCCCAGGAACCTTTTTCAGGGGATTCGTAAATTTTGCCTCCATTATTGTTTGAAAAATTGAAATTATAGGATAAGAGTTGAAAGTTGGACGAGGGATCTCCAACGAAGTTTGCCACGGTTTGCCGATCACAGCACCTCAAATGTCGGAATCACCTGACGATCGCGATGCGAAGAGACGGAGATTGAACGAGTGTACATCAAGCCCACGGGATGAAGATGAGAATGAAGAGAGCGAGGATACAGAGAGCGAGGAGGAGGAGGAGGAGGAGGAGACCTGCTTCAGCGAGAGGATCGCGGAGCTCAGAAGCCTCTTGCGGGACATGAACAAACATGTTCCGCAAGAGTGCATGGAGGAGTTTGAAAAGCTCCGCGAAAGGTGTATGGAGCTCGAGCAGCTCTTGAAGAAGAAGAAAGTTTGTTTGTTCGGAACGAATGGGACGGGAAAGAGCTACTTGATAAACCTATGGCTCATGGTCACCTCTTGTTTGCCGTCTGAGTATAGGCAGTGGAACGAGAAAGGCTCAAGTACGAAGGGTGAGATGGCAGATGATACCGAATCTCAGGGCAAGAAAGACAAAAAGGAGAAGGTGATATACAACGACATGTCTTCACGCGAGATTGACATCGAATCAATCAAAGAGAAATACACAGAGTTTGTCAATCCCGCTCATGGGAAAACTCAAAAAGCACCCGTGTACTTGCTGCCAAGTCAGAACAGAGGGTTCAGCACGACACCATGCTCAATCAATCTGGTTCACTCGAAATGTTTCTACATGCTCGTGGAGTACCTCAGCAAGGAGGAACTGCTCGAGGATGCAGGCCCATGGATTGCTTGCCAACGCGGAGGAAACCTTGCTAAGCGAGATGCAAAACTCAAAAGCATGCGGGAGCGATACGATGCTGTCGTTGCAGATGAGTTCAGGACTACCAATGGGAAAATCCCTGCACATGTTCTAACTACCGACGACATCAAGATCAGACCAGAGCTGGAAAAATATGCCGGGTGCCGTCACCGATACTCTGGAAGAGGAAAAGATCTTCACAACGATCGGCAATTCATCAGGGACAAACTTCATGACCTCTTGCAACAAGATATCTTCATCACCTGCGTCAAATCCGTTGAGATTGGTGCGCCCAGCTCGATCCTTGAAGAAGTAGATCAGATTACAGACTGTCCAGGTGATTGAATTCCATTCGACTTCCTGAATGACGCTGATCTCACTGACAGGAACCGATGACGAAAACACGTATTTGCAAGCAGCGACAAAAGCTGCTATCGAGCAGCATGAAGTAATTGTGATCCTGGCTGATAGATCGCTCAACTCTCGCACCAACATCATTGAGTTCCTTTGCAGCTCTGATTTTATGAGGAACATGGTGAAATTCCCCAAGCATTACCAACTTGTGGTGTTCATGTGCACTGAGAATGAAAGAGACGGCATCAAAAATCACCAGCTTATCATTGAAAACTCCACTTCAGATTTGCAACAGATGCACGATGGGATGATCCGGAAAAGCAAGAAATACTTGGACGAGATCCTGTTCGACTGCTGTATTGAGGAAGGTCTGACCGAGGATGAAGCAGCCAAAAGAGTCCAAGAGATTAACGGCTCGATCATCTACTCTGTCATCTACCCTTCCTTGTATGCTGGAATCGAGTTCGACAAACAGTGGCGAGAAGAGAATGCAGACCAGGTGCAACGTATCTTCTCATTCATCGACTGCTCTTCTTTGTTGGGAATCTTTCAGAAGACGCCTGCTAAGATCCTGTCTGAGTATGCACCGAGGTTCTACCGAGACATTGAAACATTCATGGATCTTGTGACCAGGGAAGGGATTCTCACCCGCGAGCAGATCAAACTGTTGAAAGCGGATGAACCCATACTGCAGGCTGCTGAAGAATTCAAGAACAAGTACAAGTTACATAGGAAAAGTGAAAAGGCAGCGTTGGAGAAGCTGAAACCTCTTTCTGACTCACTTGACAAATATCTTTCGCCTAAAATCGAGGAGGCGAAGGAAATTGTAAAAACCTTCATTGAGCACGATGACGGCGATTCTGTGCAACGAAATTTTGTGGAATGGTTTCAAAATCTAATTGATGAAACCACTATCAACAAAGACAACAAGGCTTGGATGTCTAGCAAGTGGGTCGGCAGAGGAGACCAGTGTTCTTTCTACCTTGAAATGTCTCGCTTTTGGGATAATGCTTTGCTGTATAGCAAGCTTAAGCAAGCACTAACACAGTTTCTATCAAAGTTGATTCCAGAGTGTGTCAGCAGAATGGAGGATTTCATGCAAGGAGATTTCTTTCCCGAGTACAAGAAGTCTAAGTCCTTCAAGCTGCTGCTAAAGAAGTACACCGAGACGAAATTGTGCAATGATCAATTCGTAAATGCTAAAGAAAAATTCTTCAGCACAGGAGCAACGCTTGTTCAACTTTCTGAAAGCAACTTCAAGTCAAGGGTTCTGAGAGAAGCCCAGCTTCAGGCTATAAAGACGTTTCTGAAGCGTTACGAGAAAGATGCGAATCAACTAGAAATCGATGAATACAAGGAGAAGCTGAAAGCAGGGGCTTCACAGCTGTTCTATGACTTGTTGGATGGCTGCACTAAATTGATCATGAAAAAGGTCGATGTCGCTTGGAAAGCCTTCGTCAACCGCGTCACGACTGTCAACAAAGCCCTCTCGCCAAAGTGCTCCCTCCTGATCGCATGCTACGAGTTCGCCGACTACATCCTCGAGGAGTCGGGCAAGGAGCGTCCCTTCGAGGGCAAGAATGGGATGGACGACATCGCTGCGCTATGCACGCGGATCAAGAAGTGCATCCCGCAGGGCTGCGCGGAAGAGTACGAGGAGGTCGTCTGTGAGGAAATCTCGAAGGCGATACTGAGGAGGAGGCTACACAGGGAGCTGGACACTAGGCAGAGACAGCACGGCAACCTCCTGCTGGGCCCGAGCTTGAAGTCCTCGAACACGAAAAGCCTGAGGCGAGACGATTGGAAGGCGGAGACGATCAACCTGCCCCTGCAATTCACTCAGCGCGATATGAAGAATCTCCTCAAGCAGCTCGAGGGAATGAGACTCAAGGTCTGGCCCAGCCCGGAGGATGTGAAGCCTGGAGCCAACGACAATATGTGCCTCTTCAAGGCCATCGCTCTGAGCAGGTGGGAGGTGACGGGCTCGAAGCTCAAGGAGATCGTGGACCAGCTCAAGGTCGCCTTCTGCATGGAGATGGAGAGGTGCAACAAGACGCCTCAAGACCGAGCCGCGTTCGCCAAGCGATACAGCCACGTCATTCCCAAGGACCTGGATTGGACGAAAGACTGGAAGTCATATCTAGACGAGGCGGAGGAGGACGGTTGGGCTGGAGACTTCTTGTGCTTGACGGTTATCCATGAGCGACTCTTCTCGCGGCCAGCCAACGCCTTGGTGTGGTGCCCGGGAAAGGCAGGCCCGCTGCAGATGAACGAGGACAAGCGCTTCTATAACTTTGCTGTGCTGTCGCAAGAGCGCATGTACGACTTCAGGATTGTTACCGCGAAGAAAAAGAAGTTGGAGGAGTTGGAGCAGAGTGAGAGCGATCGTCGCCTCAGGTCGCACACGCCGTGTGTCCTGATGCTGGTCACTCTCAAAGTGCTGGATGACATCGGAGAGCGGTTCGAAGATCTCTGTAGACAGGCCATGGAATGCAACATCAAGATCTATATCCCCGAGTTTCAAATGAATACGATCAGGACAAACGCGAAGCAGTCAACAACCTTCGGTAAGATTCAGCAATACATAGTCGACATGTCTACCAGGTCCAACTCTCTCTTCAAGGTTGAGTCCAGGGAACATCGCCCGGCGCAGCGCTACGAGTCCAACAACAACGATCTCGTTGTGGTACATGCACGGGCCCTGGAAAGTCCAAATGACTACGTCGTAGTCGTCGCTCTTGAGAAAGAAGCAGCTTACAGGGAGTGCAAGGAGATCGGTATCCCTGTCTTCACTCCTGGTGTAGAAGGCAAAGCTCAAAGGAACAGGCTCAACTCCTGTGCTGGAGGAATGAGCGAGCTGCTCAGGAGGCTGATGGCGACTGAGGACAAAGATCCCAAGACGTTCTTTCAGGAGGAGTGGAGCGCTAGGCAGGGGTTTGCATGCAAGACTGGAAGCTGAACATGCGGAGATGGAGAGTTGTCTTAGTTGAGGACAAGGATAAGGGATGCTATCAACACCGTGAATGAATGAAAGATAACGATGAATAGGTAGAGGGCTGAGACAATCGTTTGGTCCTCCTCCTTCTCCGGGAGTCTCTGCCTGCTAGTCCATCATCACTCGAGGTTCGGCCTAAATTTCTTCACTTGTACCCGCCAACATATCGCTCTGTGGATCAGAGTTGTGAACGTTCTCATAGAGAGTGTTTCCCTCGTTATGACAATCTAACACCGTTTGCATACAGTGTTATCATTCTTGCCAAGTCACTCCTCCCTGACATTCTTCTTGCCTCCGCTCACGAAATCATCACAAGCTCTTTTGTACTCCCATTCTCCGCTACTCCTCTTCACTTGCAACTTGCTGCGTTAGGCTTAGGGTCAAATTCAACCCACCAGACCACCATCCCGTTCTTCTCTACCATCTCATTCCTCTCTGCCATCCTGCACGTCTAGCTGGCTGTATCGTCTCACTCTCACAAATATCTGAACTACACCATCATTCCTCTTATCCTACAGTTCCACCTGCACAACTACTATCCTACTGGCTCTGGTACACTGCACTAGAAGCTTTCTCGTAGATATTCAATGCCAGTGTTATGAGTGTGTTAGTAAAACAGAAAAAGGAAAACACAACAATCAAGTTACTCTACAACGGACGGAGTGAGCTCGATCAAACAAGAGGAAGAGTTCTCAGCAATATAATCTTTACTGTCATCGGGAGCAGCTTGCTGTGATGGTTTGCCTCCCAAATATTGCTCCACTGTAAAAATACAGTAGAGAGCCCGTTATTCACCTTCATAGCGGCAACCATCAGCCGCGTGCCAGCATGGGCAGGAGCAGCAGCAGCAGCAGCAGCAGCAGTAGCAGGGGCAGCAGCAGTAGATGACCTAGTTGTGCTGCTCGAAGAAGGTGAAGTCGATGAGGAGGTTGGCACCCAGGAGGTTCGCTCGCATCTCAGGGGTGGATCCTTGTGGGAACACAACCTGTTAAGCGGGAGGTTGAGACGTCAGCCCTCACAGCATCACCAGCCCCTCGCAGCAAGCAGCACCTGGAAGTTGTCGGCCGTTGTGCAGCACTCCTTCTTGAACCCACTCCACACCTTTCGGATCTCCGCTCGTGTCCCCGGCATCGCCCCGTCCAACTTCTGGCTAGTGCTGTGATCGCGGATGTAGAATGGGATGTACAAGCACTTGGATCCTGCTCCACCACACTGCGGCAGGACGCAGCAGTTCCCGCAGCAGGTATCAGGAGAGATCCTGTAGACAGGAGTTCCGTTCTGGTCGCGAACTCGGAACTTTGGCACGAAGCAAAACATGTCACAGTAGTACTCGGAGGAGCCAAGGAAGGTGCCGTTGGGCAACTTGGTGTGCAGCTTCGGAAGGCAGCAGCAGCAGGGACAATCGATGGTCCCGTTGTCGGTATGTATGTGAATGCAGATCGGACAGGACCATGGCTTCGTGTACTCCAAGAGAACTTCGCCGTCCTTGTCTCCCAGCGTCAGGGGGATGGTAAAGGATCTCATCTCTCCGCAGCAGAAGCGTTTGGGGCACGAGGACTCTTCGAGCAGGTGAGCAATCTGAGGAATCCCCTCCGCTCTTGGCTGCCCTTGCTCCACGTGGCCGGCAAACACCTGCAACAAGCTACATCAGCGCAATCAATCTGAACAAGTAGTGCCCCGGATCGGCATGACTGCACCTTGTACTCGTTCCTCGCCTCACACCCGAGGCACTCTTGCAAGCATCCTCGCTTCGTCTGCTGCACGCTGATGCAGGGATGCTGGAACACTGAGGACATGCTGTTCGCCGTCATAGGAGCCGCCATTGCATACTGCATGTTGGATTGGTGTCGCTGTTTGTTCCCCCTCAAGTTTTAAAAAGAGTCTATATATTATTTTGTAGGACAGAAGTTTGCCTCTGGTAGAAACATTACTATTTCAATAATATATTTCTATTGGGATTCCTGTAGCTCGTACAAACTTTCCTTTAACTGGTACTTCGCTTCTGTACCACTTTTACAAGAGCAGCCGTTGTTCAACCCAATGTACAACTGACCACTATAATAAGTTCTCAGTGGCCACCCCCTCAAATACAGTCAAAGTACCCGGTACTCACCTGCTTATTTTTTCCTTCTGTCAACTTCGACTCGTGACCGGCAGGCCCGCAGGCGGGACAATTTCACATTGAATCGGTTTGAACCATTCGCACGCAATCGATTTGAATCGATCGGTTGGTCGGGAGACATTTTAGTAAGCGGATTGGGCGCTAGCGGCGGGCGAGTCGAGATGGCGGAGAGATGGAGGGAGGGAGGGAGGGAGGGAGGGAGGGAGGGAGGGAGGGAGGGAGGGAGGGAGGGAGGGAGGGAGGGGAGGGAGGGAGGGAGAGCGAGCGAGTGAGCGAGCGAGAAGGAGAAGGAGGGAAGGACGGAAGGAAAAATAGAAATGGTAGAGGAAAGGAGGGTTCAAAACTGTGAGTAGGAGAAAGGAGGAGAGACTGGGTGGTGGGTGAAAGCTCTTGGTGGTAGCAAAACAGGAAGAGGAAGAGGAAGAGGAAGAGGAAGAGGAAGTGAAAGTTGGGTGGGAAGGGGAAGGGGAAGGGGAAGTGGAGGAGAAGGTGATGCAGTGATAAAGCGAAAGAGAAATGAATCTCTTCTGGTCGCAGCATCCTTGGTCGGAGTTTCTGATTGCATGCAATGGTGTAGGTTTCCGCCCTTTGACGTCTGGCCTCCCCTTCGGGCATCAGCGATGCAGTCAAGCTCGTCGAAGCTGCTCGAGAAGCACAAGCAAGTGGTAGATGACTGCCAGTCAAGCCAAGAGGCTCAAAGAGTCTTGCGAAGCCTGATGCACGACTACTGGGCTGAAGCAAACAGGCCCAAGAGGGTGCAACCCCTCTGCAAGGACGGGCTGGTGGAGCTGTGCGTGTACGTCCTAGACACTTACCTGACGTCGAGCTTGGATGACATCCGGAGGTACACTTGCGGGGCCCTCTACAACATCTCCCGGCAGCTTCCTTCCAGCAGAGTCGTGCGGCAGCGGATGCTCAGCGCAGGCGCATACCCGATGCTGCCGAAGCTTCTGGTGAGCGACCTGTGGAAGGTGAGGTTCTACGGCACTCTCATCACCGCTCACTGCGGGCTTGCGGGGCTGACGAGTCAGCAGCGAGTTGTGTGCTCGCTAGAGTCCATCGGGTGGCTGTGCGAGTGTCTCGAGAAGACACTTGGTGGGGAAGGGTTCGGGGGAGGGCTTTGGAGCATAGAGGAGGTGATGGCAGGAGCAGCGTCTCTCTGCTCTCTCCCCGACAACTGCGAAGGTTTCCTCGCTGCGAATGGGGCGAAACTGACGCTGGAGGCTCTGCGGGTAGTCACGGAGAGACAAGGGTCGGAGTACACGGACGAGCTGCGGGCTATCACGATGACGATGGCTCGAATCTCTTGCGACGGAAGGTTCAAGTCCAGCTGCTCCCCCTCGGCCGTTGAGATCCTGGAGCAGCTGATGAGCTCGGAGATCGTGGCGGTCAAGAGCAATGTAATGTCAGTGCTCGCCAACATCGGGTCGGAGAAGGCGAGCCTGGAGGAAGCGTTCAAGCAAGCATGCGCGAGCTCTAGCGCCAAGTGGAACCGCTCGCAGCTGTCAGTGGTTGGGAAGGGGAGGGTCGGGAAGACAGCGTTTGTTCGCGCCGTCCTACAGAAGCCGTTCGAGCACACGGAGAGCACGATTGGGATGGAGGGGATGACTTGCGAGGTGAGCTCGGTCCTGTCCGGGAAGATGTGGTGGAAGGAGCAATCAAATGCTCACAGTGAGCTGGAGATGCTGCAGGCTCGGCAGGCTGCGGCGATCGCCAAGGGGATTCAGATGGTGGAGAGCGATGTGCTGCAAGGTCTGGAGTCGTCCTTGGAGCGAGGACGAGTGGAGGGGGAGGAGGAGGGGGAGGAGGAGGAGACGACGGGGAGGGAGAAGGCAGGTGGGCCGGAAGGAGAGTCTACGGGAGGAGCGAGTGACGAGCCGTCGGTGGTGAGCGAGCCAGTAATGAGCAAGTACAATCAGGACCTCGTGGTGGAGTGTCTGCAGGATGAGGGCATGGAAGAATCCGTAGTGTTCGAGCTGTGGGACTACGGCGGGCAGGACGTCTTCTACGCCCTCTTCCACCTGTTCATCACTCGCTATGGGATGTTTGCGGTCCTCTTCAACATGGAGGAGCTCATGTCCGGGGACACGGCGGTCAGGGCAGAGTGCCTGGACTTTATCGAGTTCTGGTTGAGCACTATCTACCTCCACACGTCGCAGGCATCGAGCGAAAGCTGCTCCCCTATCCTGATCGTCGGCACCCACAAGGACAAAGTCTCCAACCCCCTCCACCATCTCTTCATCTCGAGGATACTCGACGACAAGTTCAGGGACCACATTGCCTGGCCGCACGTCCAGGTGTACCAGCAGAATGACAGCCTCTTTGCCCCGTCCATTGCGGAGGATACTGAGCTGTTGATGAAGAAGCTGTTTCACTCGATGGACCTTGACCAGTCCTCCACCCTCGAGCCGTCCGAGGTGGAAGCTTGCTTCGGGGCGGATGCGGACCCTTCCCTTGTCCAGCAGTTCTTCAGCTTCATCGACCTTGACAGGGACGGAAAGATCTCCTTCACCGACTTCCGCGCGGCATGTACGCAGGCGCTGAGCTTCTTTCCTGTCGACAACACCCTGGGCCACGTCGATCCTGTCATCCCCCACATCCTCAGCGTCATTGAGAAGATCGCTCTTAACAGCGACTACATCCAGCAGCGCGTTCCCTTCGCCTGGATCAAGTGCCTCGACAGCATCAAGCAGACAGGGCAGGACGTTCTTCTCCTCTCGCAGGTCGAGAAGATTGCCTCAGAGTGCGGCCTCCCGCTGTCAAGGAAGCTCGGCCTCTCGAGGGAGGTCTGCGGGATGTTGGAGCACTTCCACCACCTCGGCAAGCTGATGCACCACAACGAGACCTCCCTCCGTGACTTCGTCATCGCCCGCCCCGTCGACTTCCTCATCCGCCCCGCAACACAGGTCGTCTGCGAGCACGATCTGCACAGGACGGCGCAGCAGACGGAGGCTCGTCGTCTGACGCGGGAGTGGAAGAGCCTGACGCAGCAGGCAGTGCTGAGCAAAAAGCTCCTCCCCATCCTCTGGAAGGAGTATCAGGACCGCTCCGCCCTCCTCGAGCATCTCTGCGTCAAGTTCGGCATCTTCATCCCCCTCAAGCCGGAGCAGTCGGACGAGGCCATGAGCTTCCTCGTCCCCACCCTCCTCAGAGAAGAGACTCTCAGCCCGGTGGCCGACGGAGTGCTCAATTGCTTTCTGCTCTTCTCCTCCGACCCAGACTTTCTTCAGCAGGAACAGCGGGGCGTGTGGAGGAGGGAAGACCTTGCCGGCCGCTTCGTGCCCAACAGTCTGTTCGGCAGCGTGATCGGGCAGGCGATCGCATGGAGCCAGAGCACGGGAGGAGCCCAGCAGAAGCTGAGCAAGACGGAGGCGATGATGGCGTTTGGAAAGCATAAGTTCCTGCTGCAGGAGCTCAAGGAGGAGAAGTGCTTCCGGCTCGTCATCTTCGTGCAGAACCCCAAGAACATCCTCGCCCGCCTCACCAGCATCGTGCAGAACGTCCTGGACAAGACGATGCCGCGGCTGCGGTGCTACACGGCCCTCTCCTTCGCGTCCGGAGGAGGCGACCGCTTCTTCCTCGACTACCAGGTGGTCTGCGACAAGGTGAGAGAGCAGGAGGGCATGTGGATCGGGTCGGACCATGTGGAGTGGACGGAGCTGAGGAAGGAGCTGGGGGAGTGGCTGCCCTCCAACGCGCTGCTCTCCTCCTACGACGTCTTCTTCTCCTACAGACAGGGAGACTTCGACTCGGAGGTGGTCCAGAAGGTCTACGACATCCTGTCCTACGATGTGGTCGGGGAGGAGGGGAGGAGGCTGGAGATCTTCTATGACCAGGTCAGGCTCAAGGCAGGAAGGCGCTTCGACCTCGACTTCATGAAGGCCATGGCGTGCACCAGCCTTGCCGTCCCGCTCGTCTCCTCCCACGCCCTTGCCCGCATGTTCTCGCTGAACGAGGGCAGCGCCGAGGACCACGTCCTCATGGAATGGTGCCTCATACTCGAGCTCCAGCTCTCGGGCCAGCTCAGGTCCTGCTTGCCCGTCATCATCGGGCCCGTCAGCTCGGACCTTGACAGAGACCCGATCGGCAACTTCTTCGCTGACGACCCTCTCGCCCGCCTCCCCGACATCGTCCCTCGGAGGACAGTAGAGGAGGTCAAGAAGTTCATGTCCAACAACAACCTGGTGCCCTCGGCCCAGCTGGAGGAGAGGACGGTCAGGAGCATCGTGAAGGAGCTGACGAAGAACCTCGCCGTGCTCACCTGGACCCTTGCTGACAGTCACGGCCAGTCAGTCCTCCCCAGGTCGGACACCCATGCTCGAGAGCTTTTTGGCCTGTTCGAGCAGGTCGCCAAAAGCGTCATCAAGGCCTACGAGGCCATTCCTGTTCAACCCCAGGTGGGCAAGACCGGGGGGGACAGAGGCTTGCCGGCGCTGGAGGTAGACGAGGGTTCCACCCCAGGTGACACCAGGCTGAAAGCGAAGGAGCCGTCGGTACAGGAGTTGATGGAGGAGGTGAGAAGCTTGTGCTGACTTTGGTTGTGCGATGACTGGAGGCTGCAGATTAATCGGCTGAAGGCCAACCAAGTCCAGCAGGCCCAGAGCGGATGCTGCTCTTTGATGTGACGGGATGGATGTTGTTGGTACAACTGAGGCTGGTGGTTCTTGAGGATGGAACGTGGTAGATGTTGTTGTTGATGATGTCATATGTGAGTGTTTGCTGAGGTCAAGTGAACAGTCGGCGGGTTTCATAGAATCACTCTTGTAGATTAGAGGAAGAAGACGGTAAGACCTCTCGCTGGAACTGAATGAATAATAATGACTTGACATACCCGTCATGCTCCACTCTGATCCTCTTCCACTCCAAGTCTCCATGCTCCCAGAGCTTGTAGATGAACTCGTCGATCCCCGTCCTGTTCTCCTCCGGCGGGTTGACAAGGAACAGCCTTCCTCCCGGCTTCAGATGGTCAAGAACCGCCCTCAGGAAGGCGTCAGCGTTGGTACGGTAGATGCAGTCTGCTGCCAGTATCACATCTGCCTTCTCCTCCTCCCCGAGCACCACGTCTCCCCCCCAGTCCAGCCGGTAGCAGGAGGCAGCGCAGCCATTGAGCTCCACGTTGAACTGGCACAGGCCAACCAGCGACTGAGTCCCATCGGAGAGGATTGCACGTGCTGGAGAGCAGCAGGAGGCAGCGAAGACCCCAGCAACCCCCACCCCACTTCCCAGCTCAAGGACGACCTTGCCGCACAACTCCTTCCTCCCCCCAGCTGCCATCCAGCCACAGAGAGCGATGCTGCTCAGCCAGATCGACCCTCCGATGTCATGTGCTGGCGCCTCCGCGATCTGGATGGTGGCTGGTCCTACAGCAACTCTCCTGATCAAGGGGCTGACCCTCTCCAGCTTCACCAGCTGCCCGAACGCCCGGAAACCTCCCACGATATCCTTCATGCCTAGCAGCTCTCCGTTCTCCTGCAGTTTGTATAGCGTGCATGGGTTTGGTTGTAGCAACGTGTCTCTGACAACCTCTGCCTCCTCCTCCTCCCACCCCCCTTCTTCCTCCTCCTCCGCTTCCTCTTGGGGACTCTTGCGAACTGCTGGTACTGCACAATCATCGTGAGCAGGTGCGGAGGCTTCCAACTCACTCAGGGAGTCAAGGGACAGCGCTTCAGCCTTGTCATGGATAAGCTGAACATCCGTCAGGGTCTGTATAGCAAGCATTCTGCAAGGAAAAGCAGTCAACCGGCGACAGCTAAGTGCAAGAATGAAGCAGGAGAGGAGAAACAGGAGGGTGAGAGGGGGGGGGGGGGATGGGAACACGTTGAAACCGTACAGAACACTCAAATTCAACATGAACTCATGAGAATGTTTTGTTGGTCTGATACCTACAAGGTAAACCTGCGAAGAAAACTCGGCAATGGAGAGCTAAAAAGCAAATGATTGATGTAGATAAAATGATTGAAACTGCAGGAAGGAGGTGTGGGAGGATGAGTCCAAGGGAAAAGGAGGAGCCCGTGAGCTTATCGGAGATGGTGAGTTGAATTAGTCAAGGGACACAGAATGTATGTGTGAAAGTGAAAGATCAGGATGAAAGGAATTGGAAAGAGAGCAATACTTAGTTGAAACTTTGAGGAGATCGAGGAAGATGAAGGGAGATAATGTGGAAGGTGACGGGCTGAACGGCAGGGTCGAGGGATGGGGCACATGACACAAAGAAAGAGCACAGGAGTTCAGAGAGCAGCGGAAGCAGCAGCGAGGAGAGGCGCGGGTGAAGTTGAGTAGAGGGAGGGAGGGACGAGAGGCAGCAGCAAGAGGGAAGGGAGGGAGAGGGAGAGGGAGAGGGAGGGAGGAAAGATTGGATTTATGATACAAGAGGAATGTAGAGGAAGCGACTTATTATTCTCCATCCCCAGATTCATTGACTCAATTGGGGGTAGGGGTACATGGTCCATTGAAATATAGCGACAAATTCAGGGGTAATCAGACTATAATGGACGGGTGGGGTATTATCTTGAGTAGGTGGGGGTGTTCATTCCCCTGGGGAAAAAAAGAATCGAAACACTGCGGGACCTGGGAGGGGTGGGGGGTCGCTGAAAAGGAAGGGTGGGAGAAAGTGGTAGGCGAGTACCCTATAAGACATGGGGGTCCTTGCGGTAATTGACTGGGGTCTCTGACGTCCAGGGGACCTGTGGGGATGTGACCAACCGTCGTAACAGGTGCCTCAAGTTTCCAGGTGAGGTGAGTACCCCGGGAATGCCTATAGATCGCACGGGTATTCGGTCGCGGTACGTACTAGATGCATTCCACTGACAGAGGGTAGGGGTGGTGGTACATCAAATGTACCCGTCCGAATGGTAGTTACCAGGAAAATCCCGCCATAAGTTAAGTAAAGATATCAGTTAACAAAGAGTCGGTTCCTGTCATCGGATCGGACCGTTCGACGGCGGCAGTCACCAGTGCAGCAGCATTCAGATCCAGATTCAGATCCTGATGAAAGCCTTATTGACACGGGGCCCGGGCAGGCCGGTGAGGTGACTGCCGATTGAAGTTTCGGGCCCGTTGAACCGTATCGTAAAGTTGACCCCGGGCCTTAAGTTCCGACTTCCGAAGTTCGCCTCGACCCGGCTGAGCTCACTGAGTCACTGGTCGGCAAGGCCGGCTGGAGTACAGCCCGGCCGCTACACACTCAGCGCACTCAGAACTTCCGGAAGCAATCCGAAATTCAACCGTTACAGTAATTGCATCCGCGGGCCCGTATGCTGGCCCCCCCGCCCAACTTGACTCCTGCTGTCACCCTTCACTGTCCTCGGGCTGGCAGTGCACTCGCAAGGCTTTAGCTACTGAGCGCGTCGAGCCAACCATGCGTCTCAACACCATTGATCCCCGGGGGTTGGTTGCCCCGCCAACCGAGCTCTTTTCATTGCTAGTTACTTTTGACTGTAAGCTAAACTCGTATTTCTCCCTGCCATACAAGCTTCTTTCAGATCTCAACATTGGGGACCAAAAGTAGCCTACTACTAAAACACTCACAGTCATTCCTGCCCCCCCGTGGCTCTTTTGTTCCTCTACCCCCGTTGTTGTCCCTTCTTGAAACACTTCCCTCACCATCCAGTACTCCCCCCTCCTTCCCTCCTCGAGCTCTCCTCCTCCCCTCTTCCTCTTCCTCTTCCCTCCGCGCTTCTCCTCCATGACCACTCCTCTCTCCGTCGCCGTCTCCCCGCGCCCCCGCTGTCCCCAGCTCCTCGCCCCCTCCCCTCCTCCTCCCGTCACCCTCGACATGGCGACGCTCAGGCCGCTCTTCCCTCTGCCTCAGCCTGTCGCTGCTCGATGTCTCGGGGTCTCGCTCTCCTCCCTCAAGCTCGCTTGCCGCCGCCTGGGCGTACGCAGGTGGCCGTACAAGGCCGCGAGAGCCCCGGCCAAGCCGCCGACCTCAGCGCCCCAGGGCTGCAGCCAAGCAGCGCCAGCGTGCTCGGGAGGCCGCGGCCCGGCAGACAAGCCCTCGGGCAGCATGTACCGGAGGCTGAGCTGGATCGACATGGAGCTTTTCGACATGCTTGAGGACAGCATGAAGCACGTGGCGGGGACGGGCTTCCTGGTGGAGCGCCGGGGAGGCTAAGGGGGATACGAAGACAGGGGTCGAGATCAGCAAGCAGGGTCGTCACGGGACCAGGCAGGAAGCTGAGGAGGAGGAGGAGAAGAGAAGCAGGCGGAGGTGGAGTAGCAGCTGCAGCAGCAGCACCAGGAGGAGCACCAGGAGGAGCAGACGGAGGGGATGAGGGCGGCAGGCAGTGCGAGAGTCGGACGTTAGTGTGTGTTGTATGTAGTGAGTCGCAAATGAAATGACGACGATCTGAAGCCGAGGTCTACGAGAGCGGAAGGGCATCAACGGTCTATATGGGTAGTCCTCCTGCATCATTCATGGCCGATCTGTCCCGCCTGGGACCTTGTGAGTGTTGTTCCAGTGGTAACGACTAGCGGGCGGATACACATGAGTGGAGCAGGGCAAGGAAGGGTCAGACACACTGTGAAGCTGGTATCATCTGCATCGTTTTATTCCGGGGCTCCATCCATCCCCTTGCTTTACCTTCATTCCCCACCCTCAACAGCCTCATGGGTGGTAGTAGAGCTCCAGCGAGTCCTAGGGATAACATCGACCTCTACCCTTCCCCCCTGCTGTCAATCATACGAACACCCTTCAGTCCTCGGGCTGGCAGTGCACTCGCAAGGCTTCAGCTAGCGCGTCGAGCCAACCATGCGTCTCCACACAAGAGGTTACCTCCTTGATCGACACCGGGGACCAAAAGTAGCCTACCACTAAAACAGTCACAGTCATTCCTGCCCCTCCTGCCCCCCCCCGTGGCTCTTTTGTTCCTCTACTCATCCAGTACTCCCCCCCTCCTCCTCCCCTCTTCCTCTTCCTCCTCCCTCCGCGCTTCTCCTCCATGGCCACTCCTCTCTCCGTCGCCGTCTCCCCGCGCCCCCGCTGTCCCCAGCTCCTCGCCCCCTCCCCTCCTCCTCCCGTCACCCTCGACATGGCGACGCTCAGGCCGCTCTTCCCTCTGCCTCAGCCTGTCGCTGCTCGATGTCTCGGGGTCTCGCTCTCCTCCCTCAAGCTCGCTTGCCGCCGCCTGGGCGTACGCAGGTGGCCGTACAAGGCCGCGAGAGCCCCGGCCAAGCCGCCGACCTCAGCGCCCCAGGGCTGCAGCCAAGCAGCGCCAGCGTGCTCGGGAGGCCGCGGCCCGGCAGACAAGCCCTCGGGCAGCATGTACCGGAGGCTGAGCTGGATCGACATGGGGCTTTTCGACCTGCTTGAGGACAGCATGAAGCACGTGGCGGGGACGGGCTTCCTGGTGGAGCGCCGGGGAGGCTAAGGGGGCCCGGGATACGAAGACAGGGGTCGAGATCAGCAAGCAGGGTCGTCACGGGACCAGGCAGGAAGCTGAGGAGGAGGAGGAGAAGAGAAGCAGACGGAGGTGGAGAAGCAGGGGGAGGACAGTAGTCAGTGCGGGGGTCTGGTAGGGTAGATGAGCGGTCGTGTGTTAGTTTGTCCTGTCTTGTTGTATCCAGCCTACAGCGGGTATGATGATCGGACTTGCCGGTTGTCAGAGTCAGCGAGGGATACGCCGCTGAGTGCAGCATGGGACAAGGCAGAATGTGGAGGAGTATTGCGATGGTACGAGTGCATCAGAATCTTTGCGAGAGTGGCGAATCGGATTTGGCGGCAGGATGATAACTCTAGTTTGCATTGCGATATCACAGGACAGAATGAAACGACTGACAGCCGTTGCTCCTGTATCCATAACACTGATGGAAGCCACTCCCATCCGAAACAAAACAACAAATTAAAAACAAACTTCAGTCATGACATCATTTCTGATTTAGATCGCAAAACATTTTATCTTGGAGGTATGATATCATCAAACATGTAAAACAAAAACCTTCACACTAACAAGTAGAGCAAATGAAAGGAAAGTGAAAACGTGCCCCGGCAGTTGCAAAAACAAAAGAAGATATTATTTCGAAGGCCCGCCTTATCAAGGAGCGACAAGCCTTGAAGACGGATGGATCGTATGCCAGCTGTGCCAGTCAGATAGCGCCGAGTTAACAAAAACTCTCCTGTAAACCAAGATGACTTACGTGTTTCAAGGCGGCCCATGTAGCGTGTGTGACGAAGGCGGGGCTTTCCTAGCCGTCTTGCTAAGGTCCTCTCATGTCTGGATGCTTGGGTTTCACATCCTAGCATACAGTCTATCTCTCATGTGCTCCTCAATTCTGGTTTTGTGTGCATTAAACTCGGTCTTGAGCAAAAACTGTCTTGTTACAACTAAGGTTGATGTGATATCTGTGTGACTTTGGCATAGTACAAGTCTAACAAACTTGTGCTCCGTCACTAACACATTATCAGCACAGCAAATTCTTGTGATGTGTGCCGCTTGGAATGACCGAACCGTCACTGTCACTGTGAGACGAGACGAGTCGAGTCGAGTCCCTAGCTAGCTGACTAGCTAATACAACAGCTACTCAACAACTAGCTAGTAACAAGCTAGTCGACAGCTAGTCACCAGCTTGTCCGATCAACCGTGAGCCAGTCACATGTTTCTCAAAGTTTGAGGCGGGCCTCCCGGCTTGTTCGGTCCGTCGGGCCCGGGGCCTCAGTACAGTGCCACTGCACTGTGGCAGTGCCACTGCAACCGCCGCCTTGCGACGGTTGCGGCGTAACGGTTCCCTTTTACGGTCGCTTCATGGTATGTTCGGGTTTGTTGGGTCGCTCGCTCTGCCGTAGCTCCTTGACAGTGTTGGATGATGTTGACTGGTATGTTGTCATGTCCTGATCTTAACTGATACCTTGTCATGTCCTGATCTTAACTGATACCTTGTCATGTCCTGATCTTAACTGATACCTTGTCATGTCCTGCAGATATGCCATGCCGGCTTTTCTTTCCCTTCGTTGTTGGCACTAGCTTGTAGAGTGGGTTTCCGATGGAGACCCTTGTCATGAGGGCAGGGAGAGGTTTGACGGCATTGCTATGCCTCTTGCCCTTGACCTTGACGAGCACTTGGCTCGAGGCATCAGATGGTTCCGCGCATCTTTCATGCCGAGCAATGTGTCGCACACGATCGGGAGGAGAAGTGCTGAGACTGAGGGGGGGAGAGGATGGCTTTGCTGGGCTGACAGATGAGAACCGAACTCTCTTTACACGAGCATGGAAGGACAACCAGTTCTTTGCTCTTGCGGACAGCCAGGCGTCACAGAAGGGGGAGGAGGATGAGTTTCCGGTGAGGCTGCTGACTCAGGAGGAGAGAAAGGAGAAAGCGAGGTTGAGGGAGAAGGAGCCATGGTTTGGAGCCGAGGACGAGAGCTCGCATCTCGAGGAGGATGATGTGAGTGGAGGGCAGAGACTTGCTTGTCCTGCTGGTCTTACATGCTCAAGTTCAGGAGTTGATGGCGCAGACAATCCTGCAAGAGGCTGGACTACAGCATGTTGAGGAGGGACTGGAGGGAATAGAGTGTCCCCCTCCTCCTACCGTATTTGAGCAGCAGGTCTTTGATTCCGATGAAGCGAATGCTGGGGTATCAGATGAAAACTCATCCCAAACCACCACCCAACCCTCCCCTCCCCTCGACTGACCTCGTCGACTTCCTTCTTCTCACCTGTTCCTTCCTCTCTCTCCCCCCCCCCCTCCCCCCCCCCGTCATTCCTCCTCCTCCCCCCACCGCCACCGCCACCCCTTTCTTTCCACCTCACCTGACTTCTGACGCGTCCCGTCACAGAATCAGCTGAACTACGTCAGCGAGGACGTCTACGAGGGTCTGAGACGAGATGTGGAGGGGTGGTGCAACGAGACTATGACGACCGAGGACGAAAATGAGCAGGAGGAGGAGGAGGAGGAGCAGAATGCCGGAGCTCAGCAGGAGCTCGAGATAATTGATTCGCCTCCCTGCTCACTGGGACGCCGGAGGAGCTTATGGAGGTTGTGCAGGAGGGGGCAAACGGTACCTGGATCTCCATCGTAGATCAGTAAGCTGCTCCTTCCTCCCTCCCCCCTTCGCCTCTCGTCTGCCTGTCCCGCAGGGGAGGTGATGAGGAAGGGAGCTGTGTGCAGAGCATCTTGCTACCCTTCTCCGCCCTCCTTCGTTTTCCTTCGCTGACCTGAGCTCACTCCTCAGCCGCTACATCGAGCACAACGTGACGGTGTTTAACGTCAGCGATGCTGAGGGGTACGCTGAAGCGATCAGAGAGAGTAAGGAAATTAGTCTTCTCCTTCCTGCGTCTCATCATGTCGCGGCAGAGAAAGTCGTCGCTCCTGTGACCCTGACGGCATCAGCTTCAGTTCTCTCCGGTATAGCAGAAGAAGGAGAAATGCAGAGGAAGGACCCCGAAGGGAAGGGAAGCGTTGCAGGCAGGCCGAGGCGGGGCAGGAGCAGGAGGGGGAGCAGGGGGAGCGAAAGGAAGGAGAGGGAGGAGAAATAGGAGAGATAGTGGGATAGAAATCTCCGTACGATCTCATCTTGTTCTATTCCTCCAGCGATCTTTGCCAAGTTTGTCAACGAGTATCAGAGGCAGGGAGCTCGAGCGTCTCGCACGGTGACGTCACCTGACGCCTGCCAGGATTCTGCTGACGACCATGACCAGGAGTTCTCGATTGTTGACAACGCCATCACGACTATCCTCAAGGGTGCAACTCAAATTGGATGTGGAACACGGCAGCAGGTGCTCCCCCTCCTCTCTTCTCCCTCGTTCCCTCACCATCCCTCCCGTCCATCCTCCGTCCTTCACTTCCTCGCTCCCTCTCCCCTTCCCTCCCTCCAACTAACTTTCCCTCGCCTTGCAGATCGTGTGGTCATTAGGGCAGATTAGGAAGGTCCTTCAGGTGAGCTCTTGACCTTGTCCACTGGACTTGAGCAAGGACGGCAGGTCGGGTTTGAGGTGGGAGCGACGAGCGGGCAAGTGAGCGCAAGGATGAGGCAGAGGGCGAGGCAGTTGCGAGACACCAACGTGGTACGGGCCAAGGAGATGAGGCTGGTGGAGGAGGTGATCAAAATGATGGAGACGTACGATACCATCCTGCCAGACACTCCGTACGAGGACAAGGAGGATGAATAAACCAACCAGGTTGGATGCCATGAGGTCTCGACAGAGAGGCGAAGTCAGGAGGAGGTGATGCGAGGAGGGAATACATGCAGCCGTTACCTTCACAAGAGCCTGTGCTGAGAGAGGGCGAGAGGGAGAAGTGATGTTGAAGAGGATAGGAGGAGAGCGATCAGGAGGGGTGGATGGGGCAAGAGGAGAAGAGAAGAGGCAAGGTAATGTCCAGGAGTAGGAGGCAGGAACGGGAGGGAAGGAGGAGAAGGGAGAAAGTGAGAGAGAAGAAGGGGAGAAGAGGCAAGGGGAGGAAGAGATCGAGGGCAACAGTGCGATTCTTCACTTCTTCGGCTTCTCAATCTCGAGCTTCTGCACGATATCTTTGACGTCTTTCTCCCGCATCTTCATCAAGTCCTCATCAATCCTCCCTTCCCTCTTCCGCTCCATCCTCGCCCGTTGCTCCTCCACATGCTCCGCCCACTCCGTCGACCTCTCCTTGCACTGCCGGCACGCACAGTCGTGAAATTCACTCCAGGACCAGATCTTCAGCTTCATATTGCAACCACAGCAGCGAATCTCTGCTGCCCTCCCATCAAGGTAGTTCCCCAGCAAGGGCCGCGTGTAAGGGCGCGAGGAAGGGGGACACGCCTGTGTCGTCCTCTTGATGTCTCCAGAGCCGCTCCCTGAACACTGCAGCGCGTGGAAGGTAAGAAGTCGCAGGCAAGAGGAGCAGGGGAGTGAAAGAAGAATAGGAGGAGAGGTACACGAGGAGCAGGGAGAACAGAAGGAGCACAAGGATAACACGAGGAGTAGCAGGAGAGCAGCAGGAGCGATCCTCATACCACATCTCGTCGGTGTGCCCCTTCCTCCCATTGAACCGAGCACTCCTGGCAAATATTCCTCTGCTTATAGGGGAAAAGCTTGTCCATGGAGGACGTAGGTGACCGAAGAAACAAAGAGAGGAAGGTAGAAAGAGCTTTTCAGGAAGGTGGTGCGGGGGGGTGAGCGAGGCGAGAGGATCGAGAAGCAGGAGGGAGGAGCGACGAGAGGAGGAGGGAGGAGCGAGGAGAGAGGAGCGAGGAGCGAGGAGAGCGGAGAGAGGAGAGAGGAGAGAGGAGAGAGGAGAGAGGAGAGAGGAGAGAGGAGAAAGGAGAGAGGAGAAAGGAAGGGGGAGAGAGGAGAGAGGAGGGAGGAGAGAGGAGGGAGGAGGGAGGAGGGAGGAGGGAGGAGAGCGAGGAGGTAACAGACAGCAGCGAGTCGGGCAGAAAATTTCAGGTCCGCCTCAGCCTCAACCCCAAGGATTTGATGACCCCACCATCCTGATATACTACCCCCCACATCACGTCAATTATCATGGTAATTGTACCCCTACTTTTCAATCCACCCACCCCCAATTGCCCCGCCGACTCTCATCTAAGGCCATGGCTGTAGTTGCGAAGTGGCTATCGGCGGCGGTGCTCGCCATGCAGGGAGCGGAGAGCCTTCCTCTCAAGGACGACAGCGCAGGCACCAAGCCTTGGTTCTGCCATGGCCTTGGCTGCCCGTCCTTCACCGTCCTCTCACGGAACGACAGCGTCGAGTTGAGGATGTACGAGGAGAGTTTGTGGGCGACGACCAAGGTTCCGTGCGGAGCAGGAGGGTCGTCCTTCGACAGCGCGAAGAGGGAAGGGTTCATGCGACTGTTCCGCTACATCAGCGGCAACAACTCCGAGCATGCCAAGATCGACATGACAGCACCCGTCCTCATCCGAGTCGACAAGGACGCTACGGGAGGCTACTCTGAGATCTCAGTCTCTTTCTTCATGGCCAATGGCAAGCAGGAATCACCCCAGCCTGGCAACAGTCAGATCTTCCTCGAGCAGCTGCCCAAGATGCAAGTCTTCGTCTCCCAGTACTCCACTCTTCCTCCGGGGCCGTCGGAGGGGCGGGTGTTCAAGGAGGCAGAGGCACTGAAGTCGGGACTGGCCCCGGGCACGTACGATGAGCGCACGTTCTTCGACGTCGAGTACGATCCTCCCTTCCGCATCTTCGGTCGGCACGACGAGATCTGGATCAAGAAGGTCGCCTGAAACAGCCTCGTCCCTGGTAGCTGAAGAAAGCAAATAGGAACAGATTTCTTCCGGGGGAAGGGCAGAGGAAGGAGTAGCAGTAGCAGTAGCAGTGATTGTAATAGGAGTAGGAGACATGATTTTTAGTTGGTGTGACGCGATGGATGTGTTGGTTGTGAATGTAAAGAAGAAAGTTTACGTTCCTCCACCTCCTCCCCTCCCTCTTCCCCTCCTCCGCTCCTCCCCTCCCCTCTCCTCCTCGTCATATCGTCTTCTCTTTCTTCATCCTCTCCTCCCCAGCTCCCTCCTTTCTCTCCTACAGCTAACAGCCAGTCTAGCACTGCATCAGCCGGCTGCCTTGACCGGCCTGGTGGGGAACAGCTGGAGTCTCTGTCCACCTACCTCGGACCCCACCGAGAGGGCTGGGAACAACGGGTTCACGTCGAACTTGACAGCCTCCCTGTCTTCCAGCTCATCATCCCCAGCTGAGGCCCCAGCTCGGTGGCTCCTGGCCGTCAACAGCTGCGGCCTCGTCCAGGGCGAGACCTGCCCCCCTCCCCATGGCCCATGTCCCTGTAGCTCGGCCCCGGAGCCGCTGAGAGCTGGGCTGCCTGCTGGGCTCTGGTTGCCTCTGGGGCTCATGAGGGCGATGAGACTGTACCTCTTCCCAGGAGTACCAGCTCTCAGCTCGCTTGCAGCTGGGCTGAGAGTAGCTCGGCCCTGGTCCTTCCCTGAACCGCTCCTCCCGCCTGACCCCAGGCTGTCGTTGCCGCTGGGTGCCTTGACGATCAGAGAGGAGGGAGAGAGGGAGGAGGAGAGTATCAGCGTGTCCTTGAGGGAGGAGGCGAAGGTCGGGAGGAGGGAGCTAGTGGCTCCTGCGCCTCCAGCTTCCTGATGGGCGGGGTTGGGGCTGGAGGTGACGTGGCAGGGAGTGGTGGGACGAGCTAAGGAGAGTGTCAAAGAAAAGATGGAAATGAGATTTTGCGAGAAGAGACGAAAGGAGCGAGAAGAGGAGAGAGGTGGAGGAGCTGGTGGAAGAGGCAGAGGAGGAGAAACAAGGGGAAGACAAGGGAGGGATCAGAGAAGAAAGTCAACGGGTGGGCAAGGGCAACGGAGACACCTTGAGCTTGCGTTGTGTCATACTTCTGTGACATCATGTTGAGAAGCTGGTCCATCTTGTTCAGGAGCTTTTCCATGGCCTTGCCCTGAGACTTGCGAGTCAAGACAGGGGGGAGGAGGAGGTACAGCAAGGGAAGAGAGATGGAGTAAGAGTGAACCAACAGGAGGGCAGGAGGGAGTGAGAGGATTGATCTGAGGGAAGTACGGGAATGAAAGGAAGATTGGAGCCCACCAAGACAGGAAAGGAATGGAAGGAGAGGAAACGAATGGAAGGAATGGAAGGAAACATATGAGAGGAAGGAAAGGAATGGAAAAGGAAGGAAACGAATGGAAGGAATGGAAGGAATGAAAAGAGGGAAGAAGTGAGAGGGGAGAGGAGAGAAGGAATTGGAATGGATGGAATGGAAGGGGAAAAAAGAGGAGAAAATGCTAGCAGGACCTGTTTGTCAACGAAACCTTCCAAGTATGTCTGAATCTGAGAGGAGGTCAGGGGCTGACAATGAAACTATTTCCTCTTCCTACCTGACTCACCCCGTCGATGTTCTCGTGGTTCCTTTCTCTGGCTTCATCCGAGTTGCCGCTGCTTGTGTTTGTTGAGTTCTCTGCTGACTGTTTGTTCCCTGTGACTTCGATGTCAAAACCTCGCTAACACACAATTTCCTTATCCTGTTTCTCCTCCGTCATATCATCCTGTTTCTCCTCCGTCATATCATCTTCATCTCCTCCTCGCATCCTCATCCTCATCCTCATCCACAACGTCGTTCTCTGTTTCCTCGCTCCTCTCCCCCACGATTTCTTACAGCTCATTGAGATCACCTGAGCTGCTCTTGACCTCGAAGTTAAGGAAGTCCTGCATGAGCAGCCACTTGATGCCCAACTTAGTCGATTGCTCACTGACGCCTGACGTCAGCAGGTGAAGGAGAGCAGCAGCAGCAAGAGCAGCGAGAGCAACAGAGGTGCAGAAGCAGCAGCAGGAACAGGAGCAGAAGCAAGAGCGAGCAGCAGCAGCGCAGCAGCAGCAGCAGCAGCAGCAGCAGCAGCAGCAGCAGCAGCAGCAGCAGCAGCAGCAGCAGCAGCAGCAGCAGCAGCAGAGAAAGAGTAGGTGCAGAGCAACGGAAAATGTCAACAGCAACGAAAGAGGACAACGTACGACACAATAAGGATGAAAGGAAACGGAGATCAAGGAGAACAAGGAGAATCAATAGAGATCAGAAAGATACGGAGGACAAGGGAGATGAAGGGATCATGAGAATCAGGAGCAAACAACAGAGAAGATCAAGAACAAAAAAGGATAACGAGGATAACAAAAATACGAAGAGTACGGAGGAATACGGAGATTCGAGGAGTACGGAAGATACGGAGGATACGCAGGATACGGAGGATACAGAGGATACGGAGGATACAGAGGATACGGAGAAATACCAAGGATACTCAGGATACTCAGGATACGGAGAGTACGGAGGATAGGGAGGATAGGGAGGATAGGGAGGATGCGGTAAGTACAGAAGAATACGGAGGACATGACAGAGCAGGAGGACAACGAGGTACGGAGGATATGGAAGAAATGGAGAGTACAGAGGATACGGAGGATATTGAGGGCACGGAGGATATTGAGGGCACGGAGGATACGGAGGATACGGAGGATACGAAGAGTACGGAGAAATACGGAGGATAAGTAGGATCAGGAGGATACGGAGGGTACGGAGGATAGGGGGGATAGGGAGGATAAGTAGGATACGGAGGATAAAGGAGAATACGGTAAGTACGGAGGAATACGGAGGATACGGAGAGTACGGAGGATAAGGAGGATACGGAGGAATACGGAGGAGGATCAGGAGGATAAAAATGATACGGATTGTCTGGAGGATACGGAGGACACGGAGAACATAGAAAAACCAAGAGGGTACGGAGGATAAGTAGGATACGGAGAGTATGGAGGAATGCGGAGGACAAGGAGGATAAGGAGAGTACGGAGGATACGGAGGATACGGAGGATACGGAGGATACGGAGGATAAAGGAGGATAAAGGAGAATACGGAGAGTACGGAGGCGGAGGACAAGGAAGTTACGAAGGATACGGAGGATATGAAGGGTATGAAGAGTTCGGAGGATACGGAGGACACGGAGGAATAAGGAAGATAAGGAGGAATATCCTACCGACTCTGGTCGACGAGCATGGACTTGTTTACGTTGCGGATGACGTAGGAATTGAACTCGTTCATCACCATCTCCTCAAAGCCTTCGGGCGAGATTTCTTCAAGGCTACAGGAGATGAATGTGAGGGTGAGGAGAGGAGGGAGGAGTTGCAGAGGTTAAAGAGAAACACTACAAGAGAGAGAGGGAGAGGAAGCAGAGGAAGCGGAGGAGGGAAATGTAGGAAAGCAGGGAAGGGAGCAGGTAAGAGACGAGGGAAAGGTAGCAGGTACAGAAAGAAGTGGAGAAAGAAGCAGGGAGGATAGGAGATGAGGAAGAAGCAGAGAGGATAACGAACACAAAAGGTTCTCCTTACTTGTCCCCGTACTCGGCCATCAGCTCAGTGAATTCGTCCTTGGAGATGAAAAATTTCTCTCCAAGGATCTGGGGGAGCAGGGAGTGAGAAGGAAGACGGTGCATACGAGAGAGGGTGGAGGGAGGAAAGAACAGCAAGAGAAAGGGGAGAACGGCAAGTGAGATTGAGTACAGGAGTGATGAGGAACGGGATGAGGCAGGAACAATGCAATTAGAGGGAGAGGGAGTACAGGGAGTAGAGGGAGTAGAGGGAGTAGAGGGAGTAGAGGGAGTAGAGGGAGTAGAGGGAGTAGAGGGAGCAGGAGCAGGAGGAGAGGGAGGAAGAGGAGCAGGAGAGGGAGGAGCTGAATGATCACAAACGTATGCGACATCAGCAGCTCTCAGGCTCACACTCACTCTCGACAACCCTTCTTGTATCTCGGCGTGCCCGAGGTGCCCGTTGCTGTCGATGTCCATCCACCGATGGAGCGACTGGACCATCTTCTTGAACTCCGACATGCTCTTGGACTTGGAAAGGATCTTGAAGACGATCATCTCTTAGTCATCCTCATGCGAACACGCTCGTTGTTGGGTGTTACCTCGCACAGAGGGTCGAGAGGGTTGTTGCCGAGCACTGACCAGAGCTTGTTGATTTCTTCTGTGCGGCTCTGAGAAGACGATCAGGCAAATTGTCGCCCAAAGATAAGTTTCGAGGTTGACCATGGTTTGAGGAGAGTCAGAGGATATAAACGAAGAAATGAAGTGGGAGTGAGAGTTCGATCAGGAGGAGATGGAGAGGAAGGAGGAGAAGAGGAAACAATATAGACGATGATTGCACAGGTGGTGATAATGGTGATGACGGCAACGACAACGCTGTACCCTGTTCATGGAGGACAGGAATTCATCTTCAAATGCACCTTTCAGTGACCACAACAACCAAGAAAAGCTCCTAGTCACCGAGTAGGATCGCAACGACGATGTTCATCAAGACTGTTGCCGAAAGCATCTCAGAAAGATCTTGACCACGACAAGTGAAAAGGTCCTCACCCATGTAACCGATGATCATGTACGAGATGAAGAACGCGGCAGGTCCCGCCCTGACCTGCCCTGATTCGAAGAACATCGACCGGACAACCGAACTGGCCCTGCCAAGAAGCAGCAGCAGCAGCAGCAGCAGCAGCAGTAGAGACAACTTCACGTCAGAGGAGCAGGAAGCAGCAGAAGGAGAGGAGCTACCAGGAGTCTCCCGTGCACATCTGACACATCGTGAAGAAGGAGGCAGAGAACGTCCCGAAGAAAGTCGGCTCCAGGTGCCTGAACAGGTTCACCGCCAGGGTCGCGTAGATGCAGGTGACGAGGCCGAGGAGGAGGAGACTGTTCGCCACCGGCTTGATAGACCCCAAAACGGCCTGAATGATCTCCTTGAGCACCGTGAAGTCGTCGAGGAGGCGGATGGCGCGAAGGATCCTGATCGCTCGGAGGGGATGGAGGACGGGCATGTTACTGTAGAGGGCGGAGGCGACGCTGCCGGAGACAGAGACGAGGTCAAACACGTTCCAACCGTCGCTGAAGAAGGGACGGAACCAGTTCGAGGCCAGGTTGATGCTTACTTCGAAGCAGAAGATGCCGGTAAAGACAATGTCAAGGAGGTCAGAGTAGAGCATGTAGTCCTCGTGCCCGTCGACCAGCTCTGCTGCAAGGATGCCGTTGACAAAACTGAGGAAGATACAGATGGCAACGAACTTCTGGAACATCCTCGACCGGTGCACGGACCTGACGGCCTGCAGCAACCATGCCGCCTGATGACTTCCTTGGTTCTTTGACCTCTCCACGAGATAGCTGAGCTTCTCCACCCACTCTGCCGCATCCTCCGCACTCGAGCACTTGAACACGTAACTGCAACCAACCACATGAGACCCTCGCAAGTCAACAACAACCTCCTCCTCCTCACTCACTTTCTCCGTGCTGTGTTCCCCTCACTCTCTGTCTGGACCTGGAATAAGGTCCCCGGCGGTGTATCGTCCAAATCGAGATCAGCAGAGCTTCTCCCGTCAGGGTCCATGAGATCCTTCATGCTTGCAAAGTGAGACATCGAGTTCGCCTGCCCTGCTCGATCGTCTCCGTCAGCTCCGTCAGAGTAACAGCTGCAGCAACCACGCATACCGCTGGGATCGGATCGGGCCAACCAGCTCGCAGATTTCAGCTTTGTAACATTGAGCTGTTCCACTTTAGAAACATCTTCTAGAGCGATCCTGCGTTATGATCGGAGTCAACGGATGCAGCTGCTGACGGATCAGAGGGCACATGCCTGTCTCCGATCTCTTCTCTGTTCCTCCCCACGAAGAAGAACCTCTCTGTGCATGCGCAGTACACGGATCTCCACAGATCAGGGTTCGTCTTGCTGCCATGAAGAGTGAGCATGACAATCGCCAGCATGGGGGACAGACGGACCTGACGAACTGAACCTTCTTCATCATCGATCCCTGATGTATGCTCTCCAGTTCATTCGGCATCCTTCCACAAAGGTCAGCATGCACAAACCCCGACCTCAACTACTTATCGACTCACCTCATGCTCATCGCCGGAGGCCTCACTTCAGGTACTAGGACCCGAGTCCTTGCCGTGAAGCGAACAGGTACAGCCATCTACATCCGTCCAGTCATGCTTCCTGAAACACCTTGTCGCGCTACGCCCTCGTCTCCTTGTATTCTTCCTCTTCCCTTGGCTGCATTCCGCCTTCACTCCACCACAAGTCCGCCTTTCTCGTAGCTCTTTGCTCTCCTTCTTCTCTCCTCCGTGCCCTCTCTCCTTCCCTCCTCTCCTTCTCCCTCTGCTCTCCTCCCTCTCCCCTCCTCCCCCACGTCTCCCTCCTCTCCCTCACTTCCCCCTCGCATGTCGTTCATCAAGCAACAAGTGATGGTTTGGCAGACTCTGTCCACCCACCCCACATACTAAGCCCACAATCACATTAATTAGTACCACAGATACACCACCCCTACCCCTTATCTCGTGACACCCGATTGGGTTTGGCTTTACGCGATCTCATGATCGGAGCAGTTTTGTGCCACCCACCCCCCCCGTTCTAGGGATTGCTGTCTTCTTTACAAGAGGGTGGTTGAGCTTTGACCGAGTCAAGGAAGCGGTGAGCGGAACAAGACTCGTCGGACGGCCGATAGTCCCAACCAAGACTCCGGCAGTTGCATCCAGCAGTCAAGTACCACCACTCATGGCTCGCTGCATAGTAGCACAGCTGCTAACAAATCAGAGCAGCAGACGCGAGCTCATCCAACACACACACACACACACACACACACACACACACACACACACACACACACACACACACACACACACACACACACACACACACACACACACCACCTCGAAGTCTCTCAAGATGGACCTTCAGCCGCAGTTCAACAAGATCCTACGTTGGACTACTCTACTAAGAGGGAACCGGTGAAACAGATTGTATGAGATCTAACTCTCTTCATTCTCTCTTCACACACACAAGACAAAGCGACGCACAGGGATGACCCCTGGTGGCCGAGAGAGCCTCATCAGTACGAGAAGCGAGAGCTCGCACGAGACGAGTGTGAACGTGCGTCAGGGAGCACTACCCCTAGTCCTTGCCTTAGCCTACATAAGGATCAGCCTCTTCAGCTAGAGGGGTCTGTTCTGTGATCCAGCGGAGGTGCCTGAGCATGTCTGCAACCCTTAAAGCTTCGGGGTGTGACAGTAGAGCTGCTCTCAACAGGGGTAGAGATCTCCTTGCACGAGCAAGAGCACCCACCTCTCAGACAAGTTAACCTTTGAGGACGTACCCTTCCTTCCTTGGGCGATGATCCTGCTTGTCACGGGTCCTCTCCATGTCTTCATCCGTCCAGTGTAGGCTGGGCTTCTGCTTGCTCACGGCCCCCAGAGGGGTAAATTTCGAACACGAGTACGAGACAGCCAACTGTCCTTTCTTTCCAGTAAACCCTTGTCTGACTCGGGCTACTCTGAAATCACTCCGACACGCTCCCGGCGCAGCGATCAAAGTTGCTAATACAATGTGAGCGGCGCGCGACGGGTCCAAGCTATACATCTTCCTTTCCGACTCCATGGAGGATGCTCGACGCATGATGCAGGAGCTGCACTTCTCTTTGCAAGGCGCAGCAATCATTGAAGCTCGAAGCAGTCGGCTTCGACATGGAGCCTGAGGCGGCTGGAGGTAGCGGCGACGCTCAGCAGGCGGAGAGCGCGGGAGAGTGGCTGGAGTTTACAGCCCTGGAGAAAGCAACTTCTCTCAACGAGATGGGGACGAGCGAGAACCTATCCCCGAAGGCGATGGCTGAGCGAGAGGAGACGGTTGTGGCGGAGCTGCGGAGCTGCCCCCGGTACAGGATGGAACTGAGCCTGAGAGGAGGGACTATACGAGTCAGGTATTCCACATATGGCAAGGTCCAGCTCCCCCATACTACTGAGCTTATTGAAATGTAAACCCAAGACGACCCTTACGTGTTTTAACTGTAACTGAGACGGCAATGTAGTACGTCGGACAAAGAGGAGGCTTTCCCGGCCCGCGGCCGTCTTGCTAAGGTCCACTCTCATGTCTGGATGCTTGGGTTTCACATCCTAGCCTGGCATACGGTCTATCTCTCATGTGCTCCTCAATCGGAGGCTTCAACGGTTTCGTATGCATTTTATAAGGTCAACTGATGTCTGCACTGTTACTTTGGCATAGTACAAGAGTATAACAAACTCGTGCTCCGTCAGAGTATCACAATGGTATGTGAGACTGAAAGTTTTCCCGTGATAAGAAATAGTTGAGTAGGCTCAGTTGATCTCCATACTTCATAGGGACCCCGCGGCTTCGTGGTGATGTCCCCGATCCTGCCATCGCCATACAACTTCACCGTCACGGTGTCGGACCCTCCGACTAAGGAGACTGAGGGCCCGGGGGCCGGGGCCTGGTCTTGCCGCTCAAGCGGCTCTGCAGGTTTCAATTGTGCAAGCACAGGCGATTGTGAAGATCGCTGGCATGGCGCGGGGGAATGGTCCTGCGCGCAGTTAAGTGAAGGTATCAGTTAAGTTTGGGGGACAGCAGTCGGCAGGAATAGGTTTGGTTCTCGCTGTCTTTTCTCTTCTCGCCGTGTGGCCTGTGCGACAGTGTCAGGGTCAAGCCTCCTCGACTCTCCTGATTGTCCTCGTACTGATTTTTAACTTAACTTTGAGTAAAGACTTTCAGAGTGAAAATCGTACTGGCAAGCCTGTGAAGGTGGGGACACGGGCAATGCCAAAATTGGCAAAAGAATTCTGCTAGCTCAAGCGCTCCATCGTTAGTTTGCCCCTCAGGCAATCAGCTGATCATACCTGCTTTATCTCTTCTCGCCGGCAAGCATGCTGTAACACGTCGTTCGCAGGTGCATGGCGAAAGCTCTAATGGGAGCCTATGGTTTGTTTGTTGTGTATCGGTATTCTCTTGTTGATCGAAGCATGGTGCAGGGCTGCATCTTCTGATAGCAAGCGGTTGTGTGCTCCTTGTACATGTTGCTGGCAGTTTCTCATCTCACGTGGCGCCATTGGTGATTCGAGGGGGTGGAATAGGAGATGCGAACCAGACCCTGCCGATACGCAAAGACCTCTATCACGTGCATGGAGAGGAGGTATATGAAAGGCTGTGGCTAGAACAGAACGAGGTCAAGAAAGAAAGGGAGAAGGTAGGTGAGCAAATAGATAGTGTAGAACGAGAGATCAAGGACGTTGAGGCAGAGCAGAAGGACTTGAACAAGAAGGCAGATTCACTACTTCATGACAAGGGGGCCAACAAGAAGCTCATCAAGAAAATAATGAAGGATATCAAGTACCTTCGAACAAAAAAAGAGCACCTCCGAACAAAAGAGGAGCAACTTCGAACAGAAGAGGAGTACCTCCTAAAGAAAGAGGAGCACCTCCTAAAGAAAGAGAAGTACCTTCGAGAGAATGTGAAAGACGAGGTCAAGAGCCTTCCCTGGATAGAGACAATTTTGGATCTTAGTCAAGCAGGATTCAGTGAGGATCGCAAAATTTTCACCATCGATCGAGCATTACTGAATCCAAGTCCTGGGCCAGCAGGGCTGCTGATGCTCTACTGCAGGGAAAGCTTCAATGAGCAATGGCGTTTCCTTGAGGAGAAGGTGTGCAAGGAAGGATGTTTGGGTTGGATCTTAGGCCCTCCGGGGACAGGGAAGACGACAACGACGACATGTTTCCTGCTATCGCAAAGCATGGAAGCGAGATGGAGGGTGATGTTTGTACGACTCTGGAAGGCGGGTCCTGTTAGCCTGATACAGGTGGTTGACGGGAAAGAGAGAAGGTGTGACTTTACCATGAAGAGAGCAGGGGACGAGATAGAGGACTTCCTTATGGGATGGGGAGAGGTCAGCGAAAAGCACCTTCTGTCCTTGGACGGTTACATGGAGGAGAATCCAGACCATAATAACATGATAAGCATCTGCATGTTATGGCGCCGTCAAGACTGGGAGAATCGACGGCTTGTCATCACGACATCGATGGGTGCTCGAACAAAGGTGTATTCTGAGCAAGATATGATAGAAAAGATCAAGGAAATGAAAATATACTCGTGGATGCTCGAGGAGTACAAGGAAGCCGTCAAGCACGACCTTCTGTATAAGAGTGTTGCTAACATGATGGGGATCAGCTTGGAAACGAGGAATACGATAAGAAAGCAGGAGACCGAACAGGAGAGAAGAGCTCGAGAGGTTGAGTCCAAATATCAGATTGTTGGAGGCTCATGTCGGTACATGTTCCAATGCACGACTGCAGAGGCAATTGAACAACTGTGTTTCGCGATGGCTTCTGTGGATAATTTTGAAATGCTGATGGATTTGAAAACGGGAGACCGAGCAAAGCTGATGGTGAATCTGCTGCATGGAATGTATCGTATTGGAGACAATGTGCACTGGGGGCTTGTCAGCAGATTTGTCGCCACGGAGCTAGCGCAGAGGCTTGGAGAAACTTTTGTGAGAAACATCGAGCAGTTGGCGGGGATCGCTAAGAATCCGATACTTGGTGGTGTGTTGTTTGAGATGCTATTCTTTGCTCGGATAGGAAACGAGCAAGGGCTACGTGTGACCAGTAGGACAGGAGAAGAAGCCAGTTGGGAGAGCCTTGCTGTGAAGACTTTTGACCCAACACAACTCTATACGTCCGGAATCGAGAGGAGTGTATGCCTAAAGCCAATAGCTTGGAATCAGGGCGGCTACGACGCGGTGATTCTAGATCTAAGGGAGAGGATAGTGCGCTTTGTGCAGGTGACAGCGGCAAGCAAGCATGACTTGAGACTGCAGTACTTTGCAGACTGCATGGATGCCTTGAGCATGGAAAGATGGGGTCAATGGAAGTTGGAGATTGTTTTCGTCGTTCCAAAGGACAATCTTGCAAACTTCAGGCTGAGCGAGGTGGTCGAAGAGGGCGCGCTCGCGAAGTATGGTTGGAGAGCCGGTGAGGAAACGAGCAAAGTGCGTGTAGTTGGGATGGACCCTAGACCACAAGGATGGAGCAGCAGGATAGGACCATGGAACGAGGAGTACAGTTGAATGATGCCCGAGTTGGTGAATATGGTACAAGTAGAGATTGGGGTATGCTCGTGCAAGTGAGCACTGTATTGAATTCCAGCATCTTCACTGTGCAATGCTGTGAATCATCGTAAAACAATGCGACAAGGGTGAAGCCACCAGATACGATCACGCTCATCACCTCACCTGTACAAGCCACTGCATTGTCCCATCCTAGTCCTCACGTCTCCGCGGACTAACTCTTTGGTAATGGGGTAGTCTTGATACCGTTGCTCTGCCTCTTGTGCAATCTCTGCGGACAGTCCTTTTGAGAGAGTTTTTCTTGCTTTTGTGCGCACGCGTTTTTTGTTTGTTTTGCTGCACTGTGCCTGCGGACTCGCCGGAGCCGTTGACAGCTGGGGGAGGGCGGACACCCGGCGTGCCCGGCAGCGAGCTGCTCGCCGGCCGCTGAGAGCCTACGCCGGGGGGGGGGGAAGTGCAACCTTGCGAGCTGCAAGGTAGAGGACGACTCAACGCCTGCAGGGGCACGGGCGAGGTGAGCTTTGACCGAGTCCAGGAAGCGGTGAGCGGAACAAGACTCGTCGGACGGCCTAGTAGCACAGCTGCTAACAAATCAGAGCAGCAGACGCGAGCTCATCCAACAAGGGGATCGGCTCTACGGCTTGTCGGGAAACGCCATAGCAAGCTTTGAGAAACGAGGAAGCAACGAGGAGATACAGGACCCATTCATGCATTGGATCGAACCCTCGCTCGAAACAACAGCCCCTAGTGCTCTTCGAGACAATGCTGACATGCTCGGACAAGGATGCTGAGCTGCCGATGCTCACATACAGTTTGATCAAAACACATGGGGTCTGGAAGCGTTGATGGAAAACAATGGTGGTCTAGGCTGACACAGGCAGTCGATGAGGTAAAGGATCGGCAACACGGACAAACTCTCTCCTACCAATTCCCGCACCACCGAGGCAAACTAGCGCAAACAAACAACTATGTTAACTTACCCTATGATAGTCGCAGACTCCGGGAAACAACGAGCGATAGGATGGATGGACCCACTTGGCAGATACGTCAGCCTTTCAACAGATCAGGCTCCACCTATTGCACTTCTAATAGAGTTTATTGCAACGACAGTATTCGCCTCAAGCACACGCATATCTAACACACACACACACACACACACACACACACACACACACACACACACACACCACCTCGAAGTCTCTCACGATGGACCTTCAGCGCAGTTCAACAAGATCCTACGTTGGACGTCTCTACTGAGAGGGAAGCGGTGAAAAGGGACAGGCGACCGTGCTCGTGCATGAGGGAGCACTACCCCTAGTCCTTCCCGTAGGCTACATAAGGATCAGCCTCTTCAGCTAGAGGGGTCTGTTCTGTGATCCAGCGGAGGTGCCTGAGCATGTCTGCAACCCTTAAAGCTTCGGGGGGTGACAGTAGAGCTGCTCTCAACAGGGGTAGAGATCTCCTTGCACGAGCAAGAGCACCCACCTCTCAGACAAGTTAACCTTTGAGGACGTACCCTTCCTTCCTTGGGCGATGATCCTGCTTGTCACGGGTCCTCTCCATGTCTTCATCCGTCCAGTGTAGGCTGGGCTTCTGCTTGCTCACGGCCCCCAGAGGGGTAAATTTCGAACACGAGTACGAGACAGCCAACTGTCCTTTCTTTCCAGTAAACCCTTGTCTGACTCGGGCTCGGTTCCTATGAGCTCTGACATGCTCTTCTCTGCGCTTTTTTGGAGTGCTCAGGACTCAGAAAAGGCTTCGCTTTCTCAGCTTGTCTCAATGTGAGCGGCGCGCGACGGGTCCAAGCTATACATCTTCCTTTCCGACTCCATGGAGGATGCTCGACGCATGATGCAGGAGCTGCACTTCTCTTTGCAAGGCGCAGCAATCATTGAAGCTCGAAGCAGTCGGCTTCGACATGGAGCCTGAGGCGGCTGAAGGTAGCGGCGACGCTCAGCAGGCGGAGAGCGCGGGAGAGTGGCTGGAGTTTACAGACCTGGAGAGCCTTATCACAATGGAGGCAGCATCTCCATCAAGCAAAGAAGACATGCAGCTTCTGAGCCGCTCTCAGCTGTCATCCAGCAAGCAACTCTCAGCTGTCATCCAGCAAGCAACTCTCAGCTGTCATCCAGCAAGCAACTCCAGCAAGCAACTTCACTCATCGATATATGGGGACGAGCGAGAACCTCGCCTTGAAAGGAAGCTATTACTCCGTTATATGACCGTTACAACGCGAGATTGTGTATCCCCGATGACGATGGCTGAGCGAGAAGAGGTTGTGGAGGAGCTGCGGAGCTGCTCCCGGTACAGGATGGAAGAAGAAGAGGAGAAGGGGGGAAGAACGAGGATGAACATCGGGCCTGAGGAAGGAGGAGAGGACAGGGTATGGAAGTTCTCGGGGATCCTTCGAAAGGTAGGGGTTGGAGCTGAGGCGAGAGAGGGAGAATGCTTCTTGGTCCGGACGGTGAAGGAGGGAGACGAGAAGAAGGTCCTTCGTTTCCTAAGGAGAGGTCTGAGCGAGGAAAGCAGGCGAACGTTCGCTCCCTATCCTTACGAGCAGAGTGACGAGGAGCTGGAGGAAGTGCTTCGTTCCTCAATACGAGATTCTGTCCTCCGGCGTTCTCTGTCTTTGATCTTACTTCGATGCCACCATCGGGAGGAGAGGAAGGAGGGAGGAAAGGGGAAGCAGAAGCCAGCAGAGATGCGTGAGGGGGAAGTAGTAACTCATGGATTCCTGTGGGCATCGGATACCGCACTGCCAGAGCTCGGGGTAGCTGTCGCGGATGACGAACAAGGGAAGGGGCTGGGTGCGGCCATGATGTCTGTAAGATCTGTGTGCTGATAGATGCTGTTCAATCTCCTTCCGTGATGCCTCTCCGCCCGATGCAACCGCCCCCTCCTCAGGGGACAATCGCAGGCCCGCGGTCTGATCAACATGAGGCAGGTTCTGGTTGGGCTGGGAAGGAGCCTCGGAAAGGAAGCGATCGAGCTGACGACGATGTTGGACAACGGGAGGGCGAAGAGCCTGTACGAGAAGTGCCAGTTCATCACGCTGGGGACCATCCTCAACCCCTTGGGATGTGACGTCACGGCAGGAAAGAAACGTCCTACCGCTCCCCTCCTTCCCTCCACTGTTTCCTACCATTCTCCTCACTCTCGCTCGTGCCCGTATGTCCTCTCGCGTCCTCCCCTCCTTCACCCCTGACTTGTTGCATGCTGCAGCGTTCGAGGGACGAGCGATCCCTTCGGGAATCAGCGAGGAATATCAGATGGTTAGGTAGGACAACTCTTCCTCTTCGCCTTTCTCTTGCTCTTGCTCTTCCTCTTGCTCGTGAGCCTTTTCCTCTAACAATCGCATCCCTTCCTTTACCTTCTCCTTCTACACTTCTCTCCCGCCATCTCCTTCCTTCTCCACGTCCCATCCTTCCCTCCTCCCTCCCGCTGTCTTCACCCTTCTCTCGTTCCCTGCTCGTGATTGTGTTTGTTCAGAATTCTCAGGGAGGAGAACCGGAAGCAGGTAGAGCAGATGCTGAAGGACAAGCGATCGAGAGCCGTCGAGCTCTTTGGGGCCTTGCGGGAGAAGCAGCTTGTGGGAAGGTCCTGAGCTTCCCTGCCCTCCCCCCAGTTCGGCCCCAGCAGCGCGCAGGCTGCCGCCCACTGCCATCTCCTCAGCTCTCTCCTTCTTTGCGCCTTGGGAGGAGGGCCCGGATGCTGAGAACCTCGTCGTCTCCGCTGCTGCTCACCTGCTGGGGGTGATCAGGCAGAGCGACAGGAGCAAGAGGAAGCATACGGGTCGCTTGTTGGCACCACTGGACCCCAGGAAGGCCTCGCGAAGATACCTGAGAGGATGTGAGGACGAGGACGAGGACGATGGGGGGGGGGAGGACGAGGACGAGGACGATTGGGGGGGGGAAGAGGACGAGGACGAGGACGATGGGGGGGGAAAGGACGAGGACGAGGACGATTGGGGGGGGGAAGAGGACGAGGACGAGGACGATGGGGGGGGAGAGGACGAGGACGAGGACGATGGAGGGGGGGAGGACGAGGATGAGGAGGGAGATGCGGGGAGAGGACGAGGACGAGTGGAGTGGAGATCTGATACTTTGGGGGTGGGGAGGAATGATGGGGAAGACTGGGGCCAGGAGCAAGAGGGAGTGTGCGAGGGATGGAGGATTACGAGGTTACGAACTCGGTGAAGTCCATCATTTCCTCGACGTTTCTTGTTAAACTTTCGGCTGTGCAGCTCCCCAAGTCCCACCTGCCCCATCATCAACAAGGCTCCATCCCCCCCCCCCTTCCCCCTCCCTTTGCTCTGCGGCTCCTTTCTGATCTCTCCTCCCCTCCCCTTGCTTCTGCCCTCCTCTTCTTTCCCCTCCCCTCCCTGCCCCCTTCTCCTGCTTTCCCCTTTCCCTCCTCTCCTTTCCCCTCTATTCCCTGCTCCCTTCTCCTCCTCAACCCCTCCCCTCCCCTCCTCCACCTGACGAGCTCGTCGCTCTCCTTCTCTTGGCCTCCTGACTCCCTCCTACCCAGCTCGTCCTCTGCCGCACGGGACTTGCTGGTCTTGAACTTGTCCTTCCCCCGGAGGAGCGACGAACTCGGTCTTCCTCGCAGCTCGCGCCTGCCCTCCTCCTCCTCCTCCCCAGCCTCGTCCTTCTCCCCCTTGCTCGCAGATACCTTCCTGTGGCAGCTTCGTCAGTCCGGAGGAGACTCATTCATCCTCTGCCAACCTTTCCATCCCCTTTGGCGTTTCTCCTGCCTCCTCCCCGCCTGCCGAGTGCGCGTCCTTGACCCGCTGAATGTGCGAGATGGAGATTTTCATCCCTGCTCCCTCATCCTCTGCCACTGCCTGCACCTGCGGAGGAGGTGAACTCCTGGGCAGAGGGGAAAATGAAGGGAGGAAGAGACTTGGAGGAGGCAGAACAGGACAAGGAGAGAGGAGGAGAGCAGGTGGTGAGAAGAATGATCAGTGACATAGGAGAAAGGAGAGGGAAAGGGCAGGACAGGCAGAAGGAGGGAAGGAGGACGGAGGACTCACGCGTCTGATCCAAGCAAGATCTGCTCGTTTATCAGGGGAAATGAGCAAGTCAGGCCAGTCGGCCAGTTGCCAGGAGTTTTCGCGAGCCTTGACAATCTGACGCTCTTTCCTCCTCCTCCTCCTGCGGAGGGTGTGAGCAGCGATGCTGATGGTTTCGCTCGCAGCTCACCGCTCCTCCTGGTATTTCACGTCCTCCTCTCTTGCCAGCGCTTCCTCTATCGTCTTCCTCGCCTGCTCTCGCACGTCAGTCTGACGGTTGCGAGCTCGGGAGACTGACGAGATGAAGCGTGTGACGCATGGCGATTTGCTGCTGCTCCGGTTGATCGACCTTGAGGAGGTTCGAGACGACTATCTACAGAGAGATGCGGAGAAAAAGAATCAGAAGAGACAAAAGTAGAGTGAAGCAACGGAGAGTGAGGAGGGCAGGAGCAGGAGCAGGAGCAGGAGCAAGCAGGAGCAGGAGCAGGAGCAGGAGCAGGAGCAGGAGCAGGAGCAGGAGCAGGAGCAGGAGCAGGAGCAGGAGCAGGAGCAGGAGCAGGAGCAGGAGCAGGAGCAGGAGGAGCAGGAGGAGCAGGCCCCAACCAGGTGCGAGATGAAAAACTCTTGGAAAGTCATCTCAACTTTCTCTACGGCCAGACGTCTCAACACCCTCGCTTGCTTCATCGCAACAAAATTCCTCCAGTCGCTCATGGCGGCAGTGAAGGCGGTCCTTCAGCATGGGCCCTTCACATTGCGGCGGGAAGGTGGGCAAGGGTACCTGTGATCTTCCAAGGAGGCCTCCTCCACCAGTAGCTGGTACAGGAGCGCATTGAACCAGACCTGCCCGCTCGTCACCTGCTGTACAGCGAGGAGGAGCGGAGGGAGGAGCTGAAAACTCACGAACGCTGGCATGTCGACTGTCAGGTCCTCCGACGATCTCTGATCTGCGCTCGCCATCTTGCGAGGGATCCAGGCCCACCACTCCTTGAAGGCTGAGGAGGCAGTCAAGCGCTGCTTGCAGTCTACAAGAAGCGGCAGCGGGGGAGAAGAACGGGATGGGGAGAGGGGAGGGAACGCTCGGGAGCAAGATAGAGGACGTTCCGACACCTGACTGTAGCCCCTCCTCTTTCATCGCCCGCGTCACTTCCCTCTCCTTCAACTCGCAAGGTATCGGATCGCTAGAGAGCGGCAGCAGCGAGTAAACACGGGTGACTGCAGCAACAACGTCATCGCTCTTACGGTATCAAGATTTCCCAGGGGACGAAACTGTTGTACATGACGGCGGTGCTGGTGTTCGACCTTCGGAACTTGTCAGCTAGGACCTGCTCCATCAGAGTCATCAAGGAGGATGGACTAGAGTACAAGTCACAAGGTGAATCCTCTCGTCCCTCATGGTGGGAGGTTTCCTTCCAGTTTCTTCGCCTTCCATGCTCGCCATTTTCTTGTCTTGATCGAAGCCAAAGACTTGAGAGGGCTGAGAGGCGATCAGATCCGATGCGTCGTCAGGGCATGTTGACAGCAGGATACGTCAAGAAGCATGAAGAAGAATCCTGATACTTGTGTTGTGGGGTGTTATATTCTGTTCAGTGCTCCTTGTCTTGACTTGACTTGACTTGACTTGACTTGACTTGACTCGCAGACTTGTCTTGACTCGTCTTGTCTTGTCTTGTCTCGTCTTGTCTTGACTCGTCTTGTCTTGTCTTGTCTCGTCTTGTCTTGATTCAAAGTCCGTTGCACATCATCAACTCTTGCTTGTGATCGTTCTATTTGCCTTTGACAGAACTAGTCAAATTGTTCTTGTCCTGGTGGGGTAGGGGGTAGTACCCCACATGGTGAGTTCTGAGAAAAGTTTAGATTAATGTACCGGTATGTAGAGTTGACTACCCTGGTTGTAGATGAATTGTCAAGTGGCACCTCCAGACAAGAAGTCAAGAACGAGAGAGATCATTGAAGGAACAGAAGAGAGAGGAGAGGAGAGCAAGAGCAAGAGGTAGAGCAAGAGGTAGAGCAAGAGGTAGAGCAAGAGGTAGAGCAAGAGCAAGAGCAAGAGCAAGAGCAAGAGCAAGAGCAAGAGGTAGAGCAAGAGCGAGAGCAAGAGCAAGAGCAAGAGCAAGAGGTAGAGGTAGAGGTAGAGGAGAACAGAGCAGAAGAAGAAGAGAGAGGAAGACGAGAGGAGAAAGGGAGGGAGGGAGAGAAAGGGGGCACAGAGACGTACCAGGTGAGAAGCAGAAGTAGTCGGAGAGGGGAAGGAGGAGACACAGGACAAGAAAGGAGGAGAGTGAGAGCGAAACAGGAGAAGGCGAGGTGGAGGAGGAACCAGCAACCATCATGAGGCTCCTCCTGTGTACGGCTGCATTCTTTTCCATCATCGACATCAGCATCAGCGTCAAATGCTTCCATCAAACTCAAAATATCGGCGACACTCCTGCTCCCTCCCAGCTCTTTCATCATGCCCTCGTTGACAAGAACAACAAACCTGTTGCACTCACTGCGTATGACTGCTCGGTATGAATTTCCGTCCTCACTCCATTCCCCCACTGCCCCACCTTCTCACTTGCCTCTCTCATTTCTCCTTTCTCCTCGTCTTCTACTTTCTCCTCCTCTCCTCTCCTCTCCTCTCCTCTCCTCTCCTCTCCTCTCCTCTCCTCTCCTCTCCTCTCCTCTCCTCTCCTCTCCTCTCCTCTCCTCTCCTCTCCTCTCCTCTCCTCTCCGCTCCGCTCCGCTCCCCTCCTCTCCTCTCCTCTTCTCTTCTCTCCTCTCCTCTCCTCTCCTCTCCTCTCCTCTCCTCTCCTCTCCTCTCCTCTCCTCTCTGCTAACCCGACCCATACTCGCTTATATGGGCAGAAGGGATAAGAGATACTGGGAGAGTCCTGTCTGAGTGATAATATCGAGCTGGGCTGT